ATGAACCAGTTTTTCATATATTTTCCGGGTAACCAATTAGTTGGGCCTCGCTCCATTGAATAGTTAGTTATTCGTTAAAATAAGCCGGTGAACCATTTCAGCGGGGCTCAATTCCCTCTGTATATACTATGTATAAACAGTCACATAAAGCTACAAATATATGTTTTTACATATGTAATCTTATTGGCCTGAATGTTGTTAGCCATGATCGCTTTTACTTTCTCAATGCTGTTTCTGTTCGAGATTTTTGTTTTTGTTTTGAAAACATTATTGCGCATTTGCTTGTTTTTGTTTTTATTTTGACTTTGCCAAACTAAACGCCAAATGCAAATATCGACACCAACATAGATATTTATGAACGCATTTACATATACATATCGCATTCGTTTGCTGGAAGAATAACACAAGTTAATTATGCATGCCACTGTAACCGAGTGGTTAGAAGTGAGTATTTCCACTCGATGAACCTAGCTAGGCTCAGTCCCTGGTTCGGTCAACATCTAAAAATATAAATTTTTGTTAAGAGCAGGCAATGGCAAACGTCCGAGTGTATTTCTGCCATGGCAAAAATGCTTTTTTTAGTTGTTGTTTTTATGACCAGCATAGCTCTCTCACCTTTTACCTGGATAGTCGTGGTAAACGACGTCCTCGCTTACGCTGACGACGTGGCACTTAACGCGTGAGGAAAGTTTCTGGGCACTCTGTATAACCTTATGCAAGGGTGCTTAAACTTAGTGAGAAGTAGGTCTGCTATTAATCCTGGAAACACAGAGCCCGCCTTGTACCCAAAAAAAAAAAGGGCATCATGTGCGCTATACTGCGGTAAAAACGTGAAAGTGATAGCGTATATCTCCAAAAGCAACATATTGCATATATGAAAGCATAATAATGAAGCCGCAGTTCGTTCCGACATCAGTCTGAGAAGCACTGGCTTCTCTATTAACCGCACGTGTGAGCAGTCGACAATCTTAAGAAACTTCCAACTGAGGAAACGGATCCTTGCAAACTGTGGTTGGGTCCAAAATAATCCGTCTCTACATCCATATCATACATAAGAGTGCATGAGAGTGTAACAGTTTGTGGAATATAAGCCCAATTTAAATCCTCACGGCTGAGTCCTAAGTAGGACGACTCTCTTAAAATTTTGGGTTTAGACCAGCTGATTTCAGATAGAGGTTACCGCTATAAAGAAGGCGGCCGATAGATTGGATTCACACCAGTGTATTAAGAAGGGTAAATATCTTATCTGATAGCCTAGCGGCAATCAGGGTTCTAAAATCGTTCGTGATACAATTAATCACTGCTGGAGGAATGACCTTCGACTACTTGAAAATCGGGACCCATTATTTAGTAACGTTGCAGGAAAATTTATGCCTGTGAATTGGCTAGGCGGGTATTCGCCGTAATATTTTTTTAATCGACTTCAAAAACAGGGTGAGGTTATCAATTCGCCGAAATATTTTATTTATTTATGTTATCGCTTAACTTCGGACCTCAGAGGTGGTCTCATACTAATTTGATCATTGGATCATGAAGAAATTAAAGGCATGTACTCTTTAATGTTTATGAGAATTGAAGTCGGTGGTGTTTTGTTGCTTAAAAATCACTGGTTTAATCATCAATCGATACTTAAATTGCTCAACTGAAATTGGCCCTTTAAAAGGAAGACGAGGTGGATTCATTTCATCATTTCCTTCTTAGCAGCCCTGCTTTCGCTAGACTAAAGTTTCCATCTCGACAAGTATTTCACCAACGCTCCCGCGGAACTCTCTGGAGTAGATATATGGATTACTTGCAGTTAACGTTCCGAAACAATATCAATTAAGTAACACAATGCACAACATAAGAAATGAGCATTTCTCGGGGTTGTCACCTAACCTAACCTATTATTTATTTTTGTTCAACTCATTTTTTTATTTTTATTTTTTTTTTTTAGTTATGACGTTCTTCCAGTAAACGAGCAATATGTATACATATGCTGATTTAATTCAGTCATTCCACCCATCAGCAGCAGCAACACCAACGACACAGTTCTTTTTGGGTTGCGAACGCTCGGAAGCTCGATTAGCTATGCGTTTGGTAATTTCTTTTGTCAAAATAATACCAAATCTTTAAGAGCGAGCACAGAAATACGTAATCTTATAGAAATACAAAATTATATACATACATATAGTGCTTATCACAACTATGCGCCACCCACATATGTATTGACAACTTTTGACTACTATTTTTAAAATTATTTTCTTATACAAATATAGTTCATTCCATAACAGAAAACAACTACATAGAAATTTCAACCTCTGTAGAAAAAAAAAATTAACAAATTTTCATCAAAACTTCTTCAAACTTTTCATTCAGATTTTTTTTTTAATTTTGGGGCATACATTTTTATAGCCCATTCAATTTGAGTGGAAGTTTCAAGTGAGCGTTAATTTTTGGCAATTTGAATTTGAATAAGAAAAATTCAATGTAACTTTTTAAAAAATTTACAATTTTATACAAAATAAAATAACAAATGTCAGAAGAATTTTATTCAACTAAAACTTATTGAAATTTTTGTTCAACTGAGCAATTATTGAGTTCAGAAGGTGTTGTATACTGTCGTATTGTTGTATGTCGTAAACTTTTAAAGCTTAAATAAATATTTAGTACATGCGTTCCTCAGAAAGCCGCATAAAAAATTCGCATAAAATTTTTTTTTTACTTTCATAAAAAAAACAGGGGATGCATTCCAGCATTTTCAAAAACCACATGATTTCAGATACTCCATGTAAAAAATTCTAAAAACCGCATAAAAACAAACTATAAATATATAAAACTATATTTTTATAAAAAAAAAATAATAAAAGTTAAATTATAAAAACAAAACAGTCAAAACTTGTCAATATATGGGCGTCGTATTGTTATGATAAGCACTGTAAGTACATATATGTATATGATACACACTATCTACTGGATCTCGTTACCTACGGTAATAAACTTTTGCTCAGCAATAATTACAGCATTTTTATTATGGCCGTGCGTGAGAGTTTTACTCAATGACGACTCTTGTCCGTTTGAAATGGATGGAGTTGAAGACTCGATGACTGACTGGTTTTGTGGCGTGCAAACGAGAAGTGAAGTGAAGTTAACGCGGGCGAAATAAATCACAATAAATTATAGTAGGTAGTTACATATGTATGCATGTATGTACATATATATGTGTAAAAAGCCATTCAATTATTTGTTTGCGCATATCGAACGCGTTCTTTAAAAATGTATTAGCTCGAAATTTACCTTTTGTTAGAAAACACAAAACTATTGTTTCTAAGGTGGGTGTTAAGCGTATGAAGAAGAAAAACTGTTTCGCAGCAAATTACAACAAAACAAGGCTTCAGCTTTTGCTAAAAGGTATACATATGCACAGGTTGTATACACGCTGTGCCTATTTATCAAAAATTACAGATTATGAGTTGATGCACTTTTGTAGAATGTGAGCGATATGCATAATTAAAAAAAAAAAATACTGCATTGTTCAACGAATAAAATATTTCAGCGGCAAAATAAATTTAATTTTTTTTTTAAGTTAACGTTTTTATAAAAACTTGTTTTCATAAGCCCCCCACATGCTATTAATTGATTTTTTTTTTTTTTCGATTTACATATTTCGATTTTTTTCAAAAACTATAAAAGTTTGCATCACTTCTACTATGATTGGCTGCACTGTACGCGAAGGATAAGACGAGTTCAATGGCCGCAATCAATTAAAATGACACTTGTTTTCCATAAAAAGTATATAAACACTTGAAAAACTAATATTTAATTTAGTCACACGCATGTAAACATAGACAACTACTTGCGTTCGGGTTAATAGCAATGCAAAGTTTATTTTTAAAATGTTCATGTTTGTATATGTATGTGCATATATAGCAACATTTTTGCGCCAGGTGGATGGATGTATGTATATGTATGTTTGGAGCCATAACATCTGCATTTGGATGCAGCTACATATGTGCTCGTATATGTTACTACAACTTGTTTGTAAAAATTATGTAAAATGGCGTTAAAATTGTATTAGGGCCTCTTAAGTTTATGCGGAAGGTCGTAATTATTTGAATTTTTAAAATCGGTTGGAAAACCAAACATTGTGGTACGCTTTTCCATCATCCCTTATATCCTTTCTATCCTATCGGAAAACGTTTGAGACGGGGACATTTTGGAGTCATTTAACCCAACTTAAAAGATAGGGTAGCTTTTATCCCGATTACACTACATACCTATGGAAGTATTTGTGGTAGAGTACTGGAACTTGGTATAGAGATATACGAAATCAATACTATACTCATGGAAAAAATGTGAGTTCTTGGAAAAGGGGCCGTGACACCTGCCATACAGACTGAATTTTTTATACCACCACCTGTTAAAAAATTAACTTCAATTTTAAATATTTTATCAGTTAAATGAATTATTACAAAATGGATGTCGATGGAGTCGTTATATTCCACAAATGATGACTCTTAGGAAAAAAAAGGGTTTTAGGGGTTTTGGAGATAAATGCATAATCTACACTTTTGTCTATCCTGAAGCTGAAACATTGTAAACATCAATTTATGTGACCTTTGACCTTGAATAATTTTTTTTACAGATATGGGATCGATAAGGACTTTTCACATTTCATTTATAATGACGTTCGTAACATTCGTATCAATTTTCAGCTTCATGCGAGTTACTGCAACCCTTAAAATCTACCTTGACCAGGCTAATAGACAACAATTTTGAAAATATGGTTTAACTAGAGTAGCGATTACAAAATATTAGTTACGCGGGTTATATGTACTTCAATTGTGTTGACAGTGATCACTTATTTAAAAAAAACTGCTATGTTGAAAAAAAAAATTGATTGAAAAGTCCTCATCTAAAAAGATTTTTGATTTAGTTAGTTCAGCCTTATCTTAACCTTAAGTTATTTCCCTGCACTGCTTAAGAAATTAATTCATAAAAAATATTTTTTATTATTTCAGCTAATTCTTTTCTTTTAAAACGACATTTTTTAAGAACGTCCAAATATGGATTATAGATATTTTCTGATTGCATTCATCTTGAATGGTAAGTTCTTATATAGAAACTTTTCTTTTCTTTTTAAGATTATATTATAAATATAAAATAAAATTTATAGCATAAAATAAAAATTCAGTTTCCAGTGTAAACGAAAGATTCAGGTCTTTTATCTAAGGCTTACGGTTGGTTTCGAAATCTAAGAAAATATTAATTTTGAAATTTCAAACGCAAAATTTACAAGGGGGCTCACAAGTAGTCGTAAGCGTCGTAATATCTCAAATTACGCGATTTTTGACTATGCTAAAATGTTTTCAGCCAACAAAAATCATAGAATTAGCTTTTGTTATACCATACATCCCTTAAAAGCCTTTGAACGTTATTTAACATTACAAAAATTTACGAATTTAGGACATTAACACGCTTATGATACATTGTGAATATCCTAATTGTTTACGTAAAAAATCGTAAATCTACTAAGCCATTTAAAATTAATTTGTCATTATACAAATTTAAAAATTATGTCAACATTAACATTCAACTTTTGTATTAACTTTAAAGTAGCAAAACAACTGACTTACCTTAAGCTCCAAGAAACGCTTACATTACTTTAAGAGTATTTACATATGTTTTATCCCAATGGAACACCGAATTCTGCCTGGAATAAAAGTAAAAACTTAGAATGTTTAAACCGAAAAATCCAAACAAAAAATAAAAAGGACACTTTAAAAAAGTATTTGAAAAAAAATTAACATTTACATTTGTAAAATAGAAGAATTGCAAAGTAATTTAGAAAAAAATGAAATAACATTAAAAAATACTATAAAAAATAATAATTTAAAACCTTCCAGTTAATCCCACACTATCGGATAGTGGTGATGCTTCCATCATTACGCAGACTGTTTATGGCTTTTTGGATTTTACAACAACGATAGGCAATACAGTAATGGTATTTTCGCCACAAAGTGCTCCATCAATTGGTATGTATGATATTTAATTGAACAAAATAATATAATATGTATTCATAGTTTTTAGTTAAATTTCACTCAAATAATTTTTTATTAATATTTCCAAAGAAAAATTTTGAAAACTTGAAAGCAGAAGTGGTTTCCACATGTCTTCGTATTTAATAGATATTAGCAAAGATTTCCTAGGGCAGAATTCATTTCAACCCGCATACCAGCATAGTTAAAAGTTGGTAAAATTTTAATTGTTTTTGTGGAACGAAATTCGCATTCGTAAATCGCCCCTAAAAGAATTCGGCCCCTAAATGAGTTAATTGAATTCTTCAGTTATCCAACATAGCGTGTCTAGTGTTTTTTTTTTATGTTATTTACTTAGTAATTTTATTGTTTTTTTCAGATAAAATTGACATACCTACTAATATTATCGAAACTAAGCCTTTTATTGCAAAACCGTCGGAAGACGAAAGTATTAAGCCTACGAAAGCAACGAACTCCGTTAAGATACCGACTAGCAAACCGTTGGAGAAAAAGAACTTAAAATCCAATATTGTTGAGGCTCAAAAGAATAAAAACAACAATAATAGTATTATTAATAAAGTTACAGCGAGTAGCTCAGTAGTTGTTGCTGCACAAACGCCACAAACGCCACAAACGCCACCAACACCAACTGAACCCGTCGATGAGACACCAACTCTTCAAATAGAAAACAATGTCTACGAATATGATTTGCTCTCACGCCAACCAGCCGAATATGCCGAAGAAACCTATCGTGTTATAAACAACAAAGCTTCAGATAAACCGCGAAACAGACACAACCAGCGGCGGACCCATGACATATCATCCGAAGCCACTGTGGCGCATGAAACACCAGCAAATAGATTAAAAGCTAGTCAGGCACCGGAAAATAAACCACACTCGCCTGTCGCTGCACCTAAAGGAAAAAAACCGAAAATAAGATCAACAGCACCGCTGCGCGTACTGAAGACTACATCACCTACGTTACCTAAGTCAAGTAATAGCCCTCAAGAACAGAAAAATAATCGGCTATCCGGATCGAATAGTAGGCAGAATGGCAAGAGCAATCGCAACCATGGAAACGAGCATGAACATGTATCTATAACCGAATCTGTGGTTGAAACGTCACAAGTTAGCCAAAGTCATAAAAAAAATTCGCCACGGAGTAAGCCTAAAAGGTAAGATGTATATAAAATATTAAAAATTTATGTAGATTAACAGAGTACTCAAAAAAAAAAAACACCCAATTCTACTTCTACTTTCAGGAAAAGCAAAAATAATAGGTCATCAGCTGCGCACAAAAGTGGTGCAATTATTTTGGCATCCTCAGCCGAACCGGCACGCAAGACATTCCGCTCAAAAGTGAGACCCTCAAATGTAGAAACACAAGTTTCGACAAGCGTTTACATGTTCAAATTGAATCGTACGCCCGGCAGATGGCAGTACACAACAACACCAAAACCGAGAATATCAATACGAAAGAGTACCGAAGGGAATACCACCAAAGTCGTAGATGCTTTTGCTGGCAATCCCAGCTTAAATATAATATCAGAAAATTCTGATTTGGAGTCTTCTGGTTCGCAAAATGGTGCTGTCGTCAATAATATTGATCAAGGTGGCAATTATCAGGATCTCGTGGAGACCTTGAATGTGGAAATTTCAACGCCAGCCGACTTCAAGGATACTTACTATGAGTTGGCGACTATCAAAACGCCATACGCTTTTCAGGTAAATGACAACCGAAATGCATTTTTATGAGTAGCTTCAAATGTTCTCAGGTTTCATAGGATAGGATTTTTTATCATAGTTACTTTGACGGCATGTAATTAGTTTTGAGTGGGTTAACGAGTTTAGAACCGAGTTTTATTTCGAAAATACATATGTTTTAATTCATTCGCTTCCACCCTTGCTTACAATAATGCATTGTTATATTCCAGGTCGGTGGTTTGAAAAAGACCCGCTTCATAACTGTCACTTCAACAATAGAGAAGACGTTAACGCCCGATCCAACTGAAGTACAAATACTAGATGGACCTCTAACCGAAAACATTTTAGCAACGTCAACACCAGAGCCGAACTTTATGCGCGACCCTAGCGTCACAACTCTCAAAGCTTTACACATTTCAGAGAATACAGAAACACCGAGTTTGGAAACGGTGGTCGACTCGTTTAGCACAACCTTGAAGAAGTTACGCACGCAAGTTTTACCCATTGTATATGATGTCAACAATGAGACATCGTATATAACACTCAGACAAACCTATGACATCACAAGTCTTCTAACAGTGACGAAAACACTGTCACCTTTGGAGACGGATATACCGTTGAGGAGCTTTACCGATTTTGGTGCTAATCTAGATGAGGCTGGCTCGGAAATAAATCTAGAATTAGAGTTTGGCGATGAGGATAATACAGAAAGTTCCAAAGATGATAAGCCAACTCGGGTCAAATTATCAGATATAGCTGATCTCTTCGGCAAATCGTCAAACCTTACTGCCGAGGAAATTCAAAGGATAGCGCTTTGGAAATTGCAAAGTTCACAACAACAACTTCCCTCACTGAATATGCCCAGCATTCCAGCGTTTACACCTGAGAGCACACTACCATTCCCCTCCATTGCGCCCTCTATTAATCCTTTCCTGTTGCCATTGCAGCAATTCCAGACGGTAACTTCGAGTTTTGTCCACGAAACGATTGCCACTCAAACAAATAGTAAAGTTTTAAAATTAACCTTTGGCGCACGAACGGCCTACACCACAATTTTCTCGAGCGCAGTTGTGCCGACGCGTGCCACCAGTTATATCACCACAACCATTCCAGTTCAAGCGACACCACCCGCATTTCCCGGATACTTTCCACCACCGTATCCCCAATATTATCTCGGATAAGTTTAGAGATACAATTGCTAGCGGGATTCGTGGGCCCGTTTGTATTGTTGTATGTATGTATATAGTGTTAGCATCATTATTTTGTTTTCATTTGGTCCCTTATAAAAATCCTATTAAATACTCGTTCATTCCTTCACAAACAAATCGAATTTAGAAAATATGAGATTATTTGTATAAAAAAAAATTTTGCGTAGATATGTATTTCATAATAAAAATTACATCAATTCGTTTCATAATAAAAATTCATCCTTGCGTGTAAAAGAGCGCGCGGGAGTTTTAAATTTTTAGCTCCCGAGTTTTATTTTAATACTAGCAAATACCCGGCGTGCTTCGCTTTGCCTTAAAAGGATTTTTCTGATATTACTCCCTCTCACTACATTCAAAACTCTTACACCCATATTCAAAAAAAAAAAGAAAGATTTTGTGGATTTAATGGTACATTGGAAGTATAGTTACGCAATAGTCTCAATTTAGAAAAAAATTTATCCTTCTGCTCTTCAAATGCATGCTCTTGCAGGTATCTCGAAAAATTATGAATGTGAAAATCTTGGTTAATAAAAGCTTCTGCAATCCACTCGTAGTTGTTTAACAATGTGGTTTGTATTCTTCCATCGCTGTAAAAAAAAGCTTTCGAAAACTCAAATTCTTTTTCCATTTACACACCCCGTTGATTGGTAATGATTAAATTTTAATCATCCAACCAAACAAAAACCAGTTTCTCATATTCTTTGCAGAATTTCATTTAGTTAACAAATAATTACACAAATACAATAAAAATAACAACAACTTAAAACACAAATGTACGATTTACAGCAAAATTAATGATAAGTTTACATATGTATGTACTATGTATTTACCATCTACTACTTCTATGATAGGCGTGATTTCGAATAACATTGCAATTGCACATCAACCGGCTGTTAAGCCCAGTACATATGTATATACATATGTACATATGTGTATGTGTGTACGTGTGTATGTATGTATGCATGTATCTATAAGAGCAGATATTAAACCCGCTCGAGACTACATAAAACTACACGACCAGCGGTCTTCTAACCAGTGATTGTTCTAAAATTGGATTTTTTTATTTGCTTCTTTTTTCAAATGCGACTTCGTACTTTGTTTTAAACATATGTATGCACCAACTTTGGGCCAACTGCATCACTAAAGTGTTTAATCAATTTATATGAATGCATTAATTACACTTTGATATGCCCATTTCTAATGAACTCGTATGTATGCGTGTTTGGCTTGCAAATCAAATTGCAGTTTTTACGCTATTACGTTGATTCCATTTACGCTTTACTCACGTATAGCAGTCGTAGTATCCGTCAATTTGCTCTGCACATCTTGCTGTAACAATGCCTATTGTTTTACGATATATTCTCTAACATATGTTTGTTTGTATGTATGTATGTGTGTATGTTTGCTAAATTTTAGTACTTTCTATTTATTTACTCCTGCAAATGCATTTGAAAAGTATATTAAACCAATCATGTAAAAATAGTCTAAAAAATGTTACACATTATAATAAAAAAGCATTTGCTTAATAAACCGAAATACGAGTTGGAGCTTGTGCTGGTGCTTCTTTCTCTGCATCTGTTTCTGTTTCTGTTGCTGCTGATGCTGCTTTTGATTTTTCTTTTTCATCGACATCATCACCAGCATCATCTGCCCTAAGCTTTCAGTGCGTCCTTTGTATATTTGCTAGTTGGATCCGTTGGAAACTTTGGAAATTGGATTGCTTCCCGTTAAAATATATAAAGATTTATTTGCATCACGTTCGCTGCCATAGATTTTTCCTGCTTTTCGTGCCATAGAACCCAAAAGCTCTTGTGACTTTTTATGGGCTGATCGTAGAGAGAATGCCCATTCTTTTAAGCCGATTTCATCCTGCAAATTTAAATGAAATTAAAGACAACATATGAAAGGTACAAAAATTTAATTAATCAACTCTTATACGTACTGAATTTGTTAGGATTATTCTGCCATCACGAGATCCATCATTAACGCGAATTTGTATGCATTGTTCTCCTTTGTAATGTACGAAATCCGAGGAAATATCCTCAATTTGGTCCATAAATATTAGCTCTGGCTTATTGCTTCCGCTCTCCGAATACATCTCTAATCTGTAAGCGAGTTTTTGTTTAGTTATTTTTGTTCGAATAAATCATGGCGTATGGCGTTAAAACGCCAAAATTTTATTTATATTTTAAACAGGGGCAATAGGTACTCTTCAAACACCTAAAAATATTGAAAATGTTAGTCGTCCATCTAAAGGCCGAGCCCTTGAATTTGAAATTGCCTTCGCGTATTATATATACATACATGTTGTGCATAATAACCAAGATAGATATCACCCTATTTAAAAATATTTTCAAACCAAAGCTTTCCTAAAACTCTTTCGTTTGACACTCATATTTCAATATTTAATTTGACTTGTAACTTTTACGGTAACTAAACTCGACCTTTCAAAAGGTGGCAACCATCTTCAAAGGTATTTTCAAACTAAAAACTGCTTACATCTCTTTGAACTGGATTTCGGTAATTTTTTTAGCGGACGGTGTTATGTATTATTTTCTTCCATACAAAAAAATAGAAGAAAGAGTGGAAGAAACTGCGCGAAAAAAATGCCAAAAATCAAGGCGGTTTTTTTAGCAACTTCAAATTTGCACTTTGTTATAATAAAATTGTATGCGGTATAAAACTGTGTACCTAGAATTTTTCTGACTAGAAAGTTCCGTTTATTGAATTTTTCCGAGTTATGCACAAAGTTTAGAGATTTTATTTTCATGTTTTTTGTTATAGTATGAACTACATATATTTTTATATAGCGAAAAGAAACTAGAATAATAAATGTTGCATATATTGCGAAAAAGTTTATGTGCCAATACTTTTGTTCGTCAGTGTATACATAAATACATACATACTATATAGGAAGCTTAAAAGAGCTTTGCTCGCGGGCAAGGCTGTGCCCATCACCGATATAGATATCTAAACGCTCGGAGTAAAAGCCCTCCCTGATCGTCACTGACTTACATATAAGATCACTTCTTACCGATTTGGATAAAGCTTAGCATATTTGGTTTGCCAGAGTGATGCAAAGGAGCCACCTAATTTTTTTATATAACCATGTAATATGCAGTCCGACTCCTTTTCGTCTGCATCGAAATGCTGCTTTTGTTTGGCCTTTTTCTTCTGTTCTATTTTATCTGTTTCAATGTTAACGCTTTCGAATACTGTTTCGGCGATTTCTTGTTGCCACCTATAGGAAGAAAAAATATATAGTATGCATATACGTCTAATTCTACCCATATTCCATATGTTATCACAGAATTCAGTTATACATTTGTATGTATATTCACCTCTCGGAAATTGTAAGTGGAAAGAATTTGTATAGTTCCTGATCACTATCTGTTAGCTTAATGCCTTTCGTATCCTCTTCATCAAAGGAGCCAATGTCGAATGCATCAGCGGCATTAACCTCGCCTCTCGGTGGTATTAATGGTGGTGTATATTTTTGAACATAGACCTGGTGCCAATCTATGCCCGAAAAGAATGGATGCATCTTCACTTCGTCCGCACTTTTTTGATTTTTATTTCAAAATAAGTTTTAACGTTATTAAACACTAAACATATATATTTAATTCAGACTATTTACCCATTTCCCATGCATCCCAGTCGTTTATCTACCTCTCTCTGTAACAATGAATCCAAAAGGCTTCTTAATTCGGGCGTAAAACAGTCCGGTAATTCAACGTTCTGAAAAAAATTAAATAGTTTATAAACCAGTCATAATCTTTTTTCCACCCCTTCATAAACTCACCATAGTCAAAGTCATTCGATCGATTTCGTGTTTATCTTTTGTTTTGTGTTGTCTGAACGGTGAATGACCCTTAAGCAATTTATAAAGCATACAGCCGAAACTAAACCAATCGGCGCATGAGTCATATGCAGTGCCTTTAGAAAGCACTTCTGGCGCCATATAGCCGTGTGTGCCCACTGAGGCATGCGGCTTTTTTCGCGAAAAATCGCATGCCAAACCCAAGTCCGATATGCGTATGTGTCCATTCTCATCGAGTAAAATGTTTGCCGGTTTTAAGTCCCTATAGACTATGAAGCGTTTGTGCATGTGTTCTAAGCCCAAAATTACCTAAAACGAGACCAATGAAAATTTCTGTGGTTTTTTTTATACGGGGTAAAATGTCGTCAAACGACATTACCTCAGCGGCATAGAACTTCATCTCATCCTCGTTGAAGACACCATGTTGTGATAGATGATAATGCAGATCACCGCCATTCATTAGATCAAGTATGAAGCACAGCTTGTCAGGTGTATGAAATGCATAGGTCATGCAAACAATGAAAGGACAGTCCATCTGCGAAAAAAATGTAAAAGTATAGCAAAGTAAAATGTTGGTAAGTACTATGTAAGTGGAAAAAAGAATTTCAGATACTTACCCCTGTGCTCACAGCTTGCAACATAGTTCTTTCGTTTAGCGCCAACATTTCGCCTTGTTTCATTTTGATGCGCTTTTTATCCAAACATTTCATGGCATACATTTTGCCAGTGTCAGCTTTTCGACAGCCATACACTTCGCCAAAGCCCCCACGGCCAATGATTCGGTGAACACTGAAGTCGTTCATGGTTAACTAAAAAAAAAAAGAAACATTAAATAAATATGTTTAAGGGCTTATAAAGTAAATTTTGTTTGACATACCTGTATATTAAGTTCTAGGTTCTTCCATTGGCAAAATCGTGTGAATTTATCGCTAGAATTTGAAGAAACAAATCAGAGCTTGTCTTTCATTTATTTTTATTCTAGGACACTTACCTCTCCAAGAACTTTTTGAATGGCTTTCCTTTCAGGTGGTTAAATATCTCCTCGATATAAGGCTATAACACGATTTGCAGAATTGAATTGAAAATGAAATATTGTACATATAATGCTCCATATCCATATGTACATATTTATATTGGTATAAAAGCAATCTGAATTACAGTCAATTAGACTTACCTCAAACAAATTAACGGGTACTTCATTTTTTAAAAGATATTTCTGTACACTGGCTACAGCTTCTTTGGAATATTCCTAAATGAATACAAAATATTTATGTACATACATATGTATGTATGTATGTATATTAGGGTGTCTCACTAAAAAAAGTTCTTGGTTTTCTACCAGAATTATAAAATGTATTATACTTTAAGACTCCCGCCAATATATTTCCTAAAAATATCGAAATTTACGTGAACTGCACCAATCTGAAAACACATCTAAAACCGAGTTTTCTTTAATAAAATTAGTTTTTAAAAATATTTTTTTCTAAAAAAAAATCACCTCAGATGATACTTAGAAGAGTTTAAACTTAAAAGGTCAGCATAAAAAGTTACAAAATTTTATCAACGGAAACAAAATAATGAGATTTTTGGTGGTATTTTAAAATTCTGAAATGTTTTGTAGGAAGTATTAAAATATAATAAATTTTATAATTACGATGATGCACGCTAATGCATATGCATATATAGCGTTCAAAATTCATTATAGTTAAACAAAATTCATCACTTACGTATGTGTGAGAGAGCATTTCTTCCATAATAAAATTGTCATATATTTCTCGAGCTAATTCTTTGCGCTCTTCATAGCTTTCGGTTTTCTCAAAATTTTTTATCTGTATAAAGAAGTAAATAAATAATTTGTACCCCTTCTTTGAGCATAATTATTTTTGTACTATTACATTATACACTCCGGTTCACTAAAGTAGGTACATAGGGAATCAAATTAAAAGACTTGCAAATATAGGGGATAGCTGAACTGGACGGACAGCATCGTGCGAAAAGAATATGAAATAATAAAACGGAACTAAAACAAAACGGCTGCAGGTAAATGACAGTAGGTCCATTACGATACCAATTTTTTATTGTTTAAAGAAAAGCGTGAGTGTTCGCATAACATAGAATATTCAGATGGCTCTAAGCTTTTGCGGTCAAAAAATTTCAAATAAGGACATTAATAAATGCACAGCGTTAAGAGTCGCGACAGGATTTTTGTACGCCTCAAATGTTTGTTAGAGAGTGGTGGTTTTACAGGCGAAAAACTTTAGTTTTGTTTAGTTTGTTGTTCTTGTTAATTCGATTGACAGTCTTTCCTTTCGGCGATAAATGCGGCAAGGAACGAGCTGTCCTTTGAAAGGCCTTTTTTATTAAAAGTCTTGCAGGCAAGGTTTTTTCCATACATTGGACTATCGGTAATTTGATCAGTTTATGTGACCAAAAGTCATTTTGTGCTTATAAAAATAAACTTTTTGCCCTTAGTATTTGATAAAAAAACTCTGAAACCAAATAACGTTAGCTTTTGTATTTGTAAAAAGCAACGACAACTGCTTAGCAGGTGGTAAAAATCGTTGTCGCATATAATTTTTTTTCTAAGTGATATTTAAAAAACATTTTAAAATGTTGGCCGCATTTGGCCGTGTTTAGACTATCAAAAACGTGTAAAATGAAGAGTTTTGAGTTTAATCTGTCAATTTCATGTGCGATTTTTGGTGTTTCCTGAGTAAATGGATTTTTTTTGTAGCTATTTTTTATACGGTCAGCAGTGAACTATTTACCATTTGGAGGGTGAGAACTCTACGAGGAGAGGATACAAAAGGCTATTTGCAATTTTGTTGCTGTAAAGGCTGCTCCTTCTAACTTTTCAGCCAACTAATTAGGAAATTAAGAGTTTTTAGGTTTTCATGTAAATTAATAAAGTTTGACTTTTTTTTCTAAATTAGCCACTGTATAATTTGTTTTTGTAACTATTTGAAATTTAAGCACACTTTTCATTTTGTTTGATAAAAACCGGCATAAAAACCAGGCTACGAAAGGAAAGGTAGTTTCATAATTTTTATCATAAAAAGTGGTAATAGCAACTTTTTACTCTAAGCTAGCGACTTATTGTTTCATAACGTTAACCTTGTGGTTGACCTACATATATAGTTAATCCGTTTAAGTATTCCGATTAGTAGCGTATGAAGGCTTCCGATTTCACAATCGCAGCAGGCAGGGACCGTGACAGTTACAACTTTTATTTAATTACTCTTTAAATAACCGTTATTTCTGACTTTTATTTTATAAATCGAAAATAACGATTATTTTTGATTTTTATATAAAAAAAACGCAAATGACAGTTATTTGTGATTTTTAAATTATATGTCTTAGATAACAGTTATCGAAGACTTATTTATAAAAGTCATAAATAAAAATCAGTCACTGAGTTTTATTTTTTAAATCATACTTATAACAGTCATTTCAATAAGTTGTAGTAAACTTTGGTTCCCAACACCTTTTTAGCAGCGAAAAATGTTAATGACTTTTACACGAATGATTTTAAAAATAAATGTCGGTGACTGATTTATATTGATGACTTTTAAAAGTAAAAGTCACTGACTGATTTATAAATAAAAGTCTTCAATAACTATTATCTAAGACATATAATATAAAAATCAAAATAATGGTTATTTTGGATTTATAATAAAAAAATCAAAAATAATTGTTATTTATTTCATTTTGCATAAAAATAAATATTTATGTTCAAATTTGAGTCTCGGTGAAAAAAAAAAAATCGATTGGTATGTATCACTTAGTTGTAGAACATTTCCTTCATAGTGAATTTTTCCATGACAGTGTTCACCAATAACTGTTATGTTCGGTCCCTGGCAGCAGTTGATATGCCTGAAAACTTAAAAATTTACAGCAAATAAAAATAAATTCCAGTTCCAATTCCGAACAAAAGAAAATCATATGAACGAAATTTTTCTTAATTAATGGCACGCGAAAGCAAAAGTCTATATTTTCCAAAAAAAAGTATCATAAATTAGTCTCTTAAAGAAGTAATCAGTGAAGACTTAACGTAACTTAACCTAACTGAACTTCAATAAGAAATCATAAAACGATTTTTTCAGTTAAAAAAAGGTTTTACAAGATTAAATCACCTGTTCGTAAAATTTAAGCTGCTGTATGGGTTCTTCTGAATCATTTTCGCAAAAGTCTTTGAACAGCAAATAACCTTAGAAACAATAAAAATTTTAAGCTTTTCATCCAATCAATATGAAAAAATAAAATTTGTATACGTACCCAATATTTGGTTGAATATTTTGTGGAAATTCAGTTCGCTCTCCTTTTCCAAATATTTATACATAACACTCCGGACGCTAGTTAATATAATTTCATGAAAATTAATCAATTAATAAATAAATTGCGTTAAAGCTCATAACACATTTTTTTAACTAATACGCACACACGCACATTACATTTAAGAACAAGAAGATGGGATGAAATATTTATATGACATTAATATAGACTTAAATTTAAAAGGAAACTAATAAAAAGACAAAATTATATTTTCGTAAAAGCACATTAAAAGTAAAAATAAAATAATAAATGAAAGCGTAAAAGTGCATCAAAATTTTAAAATTTGAGTTACCTAGTCTACTATTTTTACATTTTTTGTAACGAAAAAAAGTAATAAATTTAATGAAAACAATATTTTTCGTGAAAGTACGCAGTTATTTTTATAATACTCGTACGATAATAAGAGTACCAGATTTAAAAAAAAAAAAATCAACTAAATTTCAAAATTCGAGTAACCATGATACGTACACACATCTACATAATTTGGCATTGTTTGTTAAGGTTTCGAGAGGTGGTATGACATGCATTTTTGTTTGAATGAAAAATATTGCACTATTAAGAGCAACAAACGATAAACATATGTACATTAGGGTGATCCAAAACAACTAGCGTAACCAATTTAAGAGGACGTGGTGTAGTGGTAAGCATTGCGCGCTTCCAATCCGTACGGCCTGGCTTCAAGCCCTGGTCAAAGCAACATCGCAAAAAAAATAAAAAAAGTTTTTTTTCTTAACAGCGGTCGCCTCACAGCAGGCAATGGCAAACCTCCGAGCTTATTTCTGCCATGAAATTAATGCTTCTCATCAAAATACAATCGCCGTTCGCCCTGTTGTATGACAAATAGTTGAACTTCTCGAAGTTGATTTGCATAGAGAAAACCAGTAAAATAGGGATTTAAAATTAATAATAATAATAATAATAGTTTGGCGCTTACACATATGTTAGTGTTTGGCCGAGCTTCTCCTCCGAGTTGTGGCGTGCGCCTTGATGTTGTCACACAAAGCGGGGGGACCTACAGTTTTACGCCGACTCCGAACGGCGATTGTATTTTTATGAGAAGCTGGTTTTCATGGCAGAAATACACTCGACGGTTTGCCATTGCCTGCCGAGGGACGACCGCTGTTAAGAAAAAACCTTTTTCTACATTTTTTGCGATGTTGCTTTGACCAGGGCTTGAACCCAGGCGTTGCGGAGTGGAAGCGCGCACTGCTTACCACTACACCACTATAATCTCTGTTTAATTCTCTATAGAAAACATGCTTCAAAAAAATGGGCGTTTTCCAGGAACTATTTTTAAAATTTTTTTTTTTTTTTTATGACGAGATGGTTTATTTTGTGAGAGTCAACAATCTTTTGTAATTTCTTGTCGAAAAATGCGATATACATATTTAGCATAGTGTTAAAAATCGGGACAAACCCCTAGAAATCGGTGTGTCAATTGTAGGACTAAAGTTAGCAAGATGCAGATTTTGTTGCGGAATTCGGCTGAATATCTCTTCGTGAACAACATTGGTTTCACAACTTTTTCAATCCATATACATATTCTGGCATATTTTTGAAATTTGGTTTTAATATTGACTTTAATATTGCCACGCCCATTTCTAGAAGATTCTTCGAAAAGAACTAAAAAACTTCCTCAAAAACACGTCAACTTATTACATGTATACAATCCATAAAGCCTATTTGAAACCAATCAAAAGTGTGAAACCAAATTTGGTGTCCGATATACCCGATATGTCCGATATGCCGAATGCCTCACATGTATATATATATATAAAGTCAAATGAACGATTTTTTTCGGTCTCACTCCTCAATCGGTAATACCAAGGTCATTAATATCACATATAAATTTTCGTCCCAAGAGGAGACGGTTAAGAGGTGTGCACAGGGGGGGCAAAGTTCAGATTCTTGCATAGATACTCAAAAAATTAAAATTAATGTTTTTTCATTTAATATCCAATTTTGGTCCCGATGGAGTCGGTTAAGGCGTGTCGCAAAAGGGGCAAAGGTCAGATGCCTCTATGGAGACTCAAAAAATTATTTTTTTTTTAATACTTAACATCGATACTACTATAAGACGTCTTCGTAGGGTAATCTGAATTTTGATCCCTGCGCGACACGCACATTTTTCCAAATGGGAGAATTTTCTTCTCAATAAATAAGTCCTTTTAAGGCCATAAATTCGTTAGGTCAGTTATATTGGATTTTCCTAATGTACATGCATTTCAATATGCAAAAAAGTGCAATTATCTAGCAATGGATATTTATTTACACATTCAATCAATCGTGTTTAAAATTATTGAAAATCTTCCATAAATACAGATATAGCATGTATGTATGATTTACAAGCACATACGCGAGTGCGCATCCTATTTACAAATTCATAAATACCAATGCACATATGTACGTACGTAAATATGTATATACTTTAGGGTGGTCCAAAAAAATACACAGGAAAATCCATTTTGTATACATATTTTTCTTGCTTGCGAACACATAAATCTTGTACATCAGAGAAGAGATTTTCGCTTATGAAAAAATAGTAAAATTTCAAAGTTAAATGTCCATCCTAATTGTAACTGATTGAAGACTTCTAAAGTGAAATGATTTATTCCATCAAAAATTATTTAATCTTAACGATTTTATAGCAATTTTACGTTAAAAGATTTATGTATGAATTGGGACACAACATTTTAACAAATTTTTCCCGTTTTTCTTTAATTTATTTAATATTCATTATTTTTTTTATAAAAGTATAGCCCATTATCTAACAAATATTTTAAACTTTGTGCAGAAATTATAAAAATTCTGCAAAATTTCCATTAAATTTTAGTGCAATAAGGTGCAAGTTTGAAGTTTCTAAAAAATTGCGTTAATTTTTGATAATTTTTATACTGAATGTTCATACGCGTTAAAAAAAAATTGCCAAAATTCAAAACTTACGCTTCATTCTACCAAAAATTTAATTTGCTTCAAATCCGCATACACAAGAAAATTCTAAAACCTAATCAGAGGTTGAAAATTGAGATGCCATTTTGCAGAATTTTTATAATTTTTGCACACAGTTTGAAATATGAATTTAAATGGTGTTTGTTACGATAGTGAGCTATACTTTTATAAAAAAAATTATAAAAATAAAATAAATAAAAGAAAAAGGAAAATTTGTTAAAATGTGTCCCTTTTTATTTTTCCACCAACTTATATGGAAAATTTTAAAGCCCCGGCGGAACGGTTAAATATTAACCGATTTCAAAATAAAAAAATACGGGTTTCCGTATTTTCGATATTGTTCAATTCTGGGGGTGGCTGGAAAAAGTTTTTGACTACCCTAACATATATGTATACATACATATGTACACACAAGCACACCAATAATTCTGTGTGTAAAAATAGCTTTATTGATAAGCCACAAAAGTGCATGCCAGGAGGTATACATTGCAAATATTTTCTATATATGTATGTATGGGAGTATGTGGATGTGGATAACAACAACCAATCCTGATCCCGTACCCATGCCCATGTATGGGGCTGAAAATGCCCTTAAGGCCACAGAGCGGCATGCAGAGTTGAAAATGGTGAATGTATGCATGTATGTACGTGNGTTAAAGGGAGTATACAAAATTACATGCTTATACACAGAAGCATAGGGAGCAATGGGGAGTATTCGTATACTCCCAAGGGAGTACTCACCGAGCAATCGTACGATGCTCCCAAGTTCTACTGGGTATAGTCGATATAAATACATATGTACATATATTCCATTTGTTTTCGAAAAGGACATATACAAATTTTGTATTCTTTTTTTTCAGATATCGAATTTTTTTTTAATCTTTTGGCATAACTACATAAATAATGAAGAATTAAATTTGTTTTCGCCAGTGTCCGTTTCAACTCAAATCACGGAAATATACAAATATTTTTCCGCCTGTATTTACTTTAGATCAAACGTGGGAATATAGTTCTGTGATCTATAACATAGACATTTTTATACCAAAGCGTACTTGTTCACAATGCCCTAAAGGCATCGAGATACATACAATGCATGCAGTTATAGACATAAATATTTATACCAAAATGCCCAGAATTAAAAGAGATATCGATTAGCCATGTCTGTCTTTCCGTGCAAACGACAAATTGTATGCAGGTTTCCCCTCATGCAGGGGTATGATCTGCATATGTATGTTGGTATTGAAAATGGGCAAAATTGAATCATAAGCACGCACATCTCCTATATAACGGTATTTTTGAAAAATTCAAAAACTGCTAACTTCTAGTTAGCTTTTTTGCGGGATTCCGATAAATAACTAACTTTTAATTATCTATGACAAAACTAACTTTGAGTTAGTTGTAAAGTCGTGCAGGAGCCATGCAGACGTTATCGGGAGTTTGTTTTCTTTACAAGCTTCTATTTAAATATCCTCATACAAAAATTACTTTCCATACACTTTTTTCTGCACTTCGCAGATTCTTTTTCGTAATTAGGACAGATAAAATAAAGGTCGAAATTTTATATTATCTACTGATGTTATGTCTGATCGAATTTAAGTATGAACATGTAAACAAATAAGCAAATATGTAATGTTAAATAAAATAAGTAAATAAATAAAAATACAAAAAAATTAAAAACTCTTTTGTTTTTTTTTATTGATAGTTTATGTCCAAAAGTAGTTAGCTATAAGATAGTTGAAATCTAATGCAGAGGAAACAGTTCTCAATATTTTTCGGCCATTGCCCTTCAAAAGTATTTAGTCACGGCCAAAAGAAATAGTTAATAAATAGTTACCACTAATCGACTGCTAGTTAGTTAATAGTTAGCTACAAACTAGTCCCATTTCCTGCAGGGTCTATACATGTACTTATGTACTTGTGTCTGTATGTGGATTATGAGAAGTGCAATGAGGATATTTTGTTATGAATGCTGCAACTTAATGCAATAACAATGTTTATATGAACATACACACTTCTGGACCACCTACAACACAATGCAAATATGTGCATAGGCATTGCATGTACATACATACATATATACAAATGAATGCATACATAATGTACATATGTATGTATGGGGCTACCAACTTGGCTCAAACCGTGCCATTTTTGGCCCTATTTTACTTCTAATGGCACTTAATTTTTCAATTTGGCACAAAGTTCTAAAATGGTACTTTTGAAAAATAGTAATATTTCAATACATTTTTGTGAAATCCTTTGCTTGTACTTCTTTTACTCAACTAAAATTTTCCAATTTCTATATTGGTTTATCTTATTTTGCGTTAGACTTTGGTTTTAGGAAAGTGTTTCTAATTGTAATCAGTGTTGCCACGAACTAGTTTTTTTTTTCCCTACCAAGACCAACCAAAACCTACCAAAAATTTTTAAAGTATTTAAATTGTTTATCCAATTCCAAGATTATTAAAAATGTAGATAACATAACAAACAACTTAACTAAGTATAACAATTAATTTTACTGTACCGACTTACACACATGTTTGTCTCTTTACATATCCATACATATTATTATTATTATTACACGTGCGTAAAAAAATTGTAATTGCCTTCGAACTAAAATACTTCTTTAGCAAAAGTTTAGTGACTTTTGGCGACCTTTAACTTACGGATATTAGCGTGGTACGTTAGGGTGTGAAAGAATTTGAGATCTGGTGGGTAAGTACTAGAACGGGTTACTTGCAGTCAATGAACTTATTCCCCGAGACAAGAACATCGATATATCATACTTTTACATCCGACGTCGGGGATACTCGCGCTGCGATCTAATAAGATCTATTGTGCTTAACCCTATTTGTAATCACTCCAACCTTAGGCTATTTCAAATTTTGGTTGAAGAAGAGAATCGTTCCGTAAGGTGTATCAGTCTGCTATTTATGAGACGTGGGCAGTCACATAGAATATGCTCTGGGGTTTCCAGCCTTTGGAGACAGTCAGTCCTATCGATGCCTTCAAACCCTTCATGTCCCGGAACCGACCCCAGCATTACGCTATTATGGGCTTTCAAGCTGTACAACGCTGTCCACAAGCATGATGCCATTTTAAGAGTCTAAGGCCTTTAACATGCCTGAATATCCGACATTATATTTATTTTGGCCCCATTTGTCCTTCTACACAGAGCTCGTTTGCGAAGACTTCAGCCTGGGATATAGTTGGGTATGTGGAAATGGGCAGACTTTTTATGATTCATGGTCCAAATACGGCTGCCCCAGTACACTCGTCGTCCATCTTTAATCCGTCGGTACACCATACTTGGGACCCTTCGTCAATCATAGTTGTTATCACTTCACAGCAGTCCTTTTGAGGAATTCTGAGAATGAACAAAGGATGAATGCCTGTATTGACATAAAGTGCATCCGTTGGACAGGTAGCCATGTCGCCTGCGACGGCTACACTGACCAGTCGGCGCAGCTTGCTCAAGGTGGCACACACCTTTACTTGCTTAGCTTTTGGCCATCAGGCTCTTACTACCGTATTGAAAGACGATTAGGTTAGTTTTGGTCATATTCCCCCCAAGTCTTACCATGAAGTCTCTGTCAGGTGGACAGGACATATATGTATGTACATAGATATGTAGTTTCTAGTTGAGTTCGATTGAAGTTCTAGGCACATAAAGTATACATATACCTTGGATGTACATATTGTATATCGGTAATATTTTACTTACGAATCAGGTATGTATATTTACATCTTTACGGTCGCCGCTATACGAACACTCCAGTAAAATATTCGTGTAAACAAGGTTTCTAAAATGTTTGGATATACAGTATTGGTCATATCTATAGCACCCCCATTTCAAAGTGATATTGCCACTTACATATGTTTAAGTATTAATTTTTGGGAATTTTCGATTAAAATACAGTTCATTCTCAAACAAATTCCATATATGTAAACCCAAGTTTTGAACTTTGTAAAAGACTACAAAAAAGTCGACGAATTTTCACCTAAATTTTAAACTTTTTCCTCAGAAGTGTTAGAATTTTTTTGAGTACGCAGTTTTATAGCCCATTCAATTTTAGCCTAACAATGTGCAAGCTTCAATTGGCTAAAAATTACCGTTGATTATTTAGAAGTTTTTCTTGTCACACTTGCTTCCATATAACGAGTTAATACGATTTTTGTATGGAAGAAAGCCGCAAAAAAATTCTAAAAAATCAGCGGTGATTTTTAGCCGCTTGAAACTTGCACATTGTTAGACTAAAATTGAATAGGCTATACAACTGTGTACTCAAAAAAATTCTAACACTTCTGAGGAAAAAGTTTGAAATTTTAGTGAAAATTTCTTCTACAAAGTTTTAAACTTGGATTAATATGGGTTTCGTTAAAATTCCTAAAAATAAATAAACATGATTGGGAAACCATATAACTTTGAAATGGGGGTGCTATTGTATTGGTCAATACTGTACATATTTTATATTTTTCGCAAATAACTTTTATTGTCGCGGAACCTACCAAAATCCAATCTAGCCTACCAACCTAGGTAGGAAAAGCTCATGCTTGGCAACACTGATTGTAATGCTAAATGGAAGGAATTAAAAAGGATGGCACTTTTATTTTCTATTTGGCACATTTTGGCACTTTTTATTCTCAATATGGCACTTCGTAGCTAAGGATAGTTGGTAGCCCTGTGTATGTATGCGCATCCGTATATATGTATATACATATATATATTTTTTTTCATTTTACACACCATTGAACTTCTGAAGTTTTCGATTATCAACTACTGGACAATTGTATACATATCTATTTTTACATTTTCCTACGTGCATATGTACATACATATGGACATACGTACATTCCAACTGTTCGTACACAATACAAAACAGAGATAGAACTTTAATTGCAAGATAGCAATTCAAAGCAAAACACACTAGAAAATGGAAAAAAAGTAAATAAAAAAGTGAAACACAAAAGAGTAGGTAAGTGTGTATGTAATTGAAATTTTCGATTAGTTAGTCAGCAATACGCATACATATTTTGTTTGGCTTAAATAAATAAAAAGAAAACAAAAAAAACATAAAAATCTTGCCATGCAGAATTGGGCGTTTTTGGGGGAATACAACCTGCACCAACTGACATACATTCATTCATATCGCAAATGAATACCTATGACATACATACATACATATATACATGGAATAGTAGGCATGTTTGTGTGTGCACACATACGTACCTGGGGTCGGGCAAAACAAGCCTTTTGCTAGCTCTGGCTGCTGGTGTACATTTGGATTTCTCCATGGCCATCAGATAGCTGACGTCCGCCAGCACAGCTTCCAAATCCGCCATGTTTGTGCGTTGGACCTCGGTTCCTTCGTTAGGTGTACTATGCAAATCTACTTGCTAAAAATTCCTTTTCACTTTCTTTTCACAGTTCCGATTAAAAAATTTACGAATACGAACACAACAACGTACCTATTGAAATGGTACCGACGACGACGATCTCCCAACAAATGAAAGACGTTGCATTGCCTTACATTTTTGCCAATTCTTTGTTTTCATATGTGCACACTACTATGTACATATATTTCTTTCAGTATTGCACCTTTTCACATAAACTATTTCAAATCACAAATATGCATATAGGATAAATTAATTGTACATTATACAGCACAGCTTATTCAATTGACCACAAAAAAGAAATTTATATCTAAATACATATATATATTTTTTTAATCTAATGTGTATCAATATAATACATCCAATCAGAATAGGATACTAACTTCGCAATGTACCAATTCGAGAGCATGTACATAATAATGGAACTAGTGGTGAGCGCATGTCAATGCAGGGTTGTATTCGTAGGTGAATTTCCGCATGAAAAATGCGATGCATTGTAGGGTTAAAGACCGATGTTAACGTATTGTGGGAAATTTATGATAAAAATACGCTAGATATTCATTAAAAAAATTAAGTTTTATAAATATATTGAAGCAGAGTTAATCGGCTCTATGACACCAATTACTTTAGCTATGTATAACAACTTATTTATTAAAGGCCTGTCTGCAGCTCTCAAAAAACAACTAAAAATTCATATAAAATGATACAGAAGAAATAGAAAATAAATTTTTTTCTATCAAAATTTCTCAAATCAGAATGCAACTCATAAGAAAAAAATGCGCGTAAATTTGCTTCTTCAGNTAAAAATTCATATAAAATGATACAGAAGAAATAGAAAATAAATTTTTTTCTATCAAAATTTCTCAAATCAGAATGCAACTCATAAGAAAATTTAATTTTTCTTAAGAAAGGCGGTAAAAATCTTATATTTTATTAAAAAAAAAACAAGTAATTCCTAAGCAAAAACCCAAACCGACTTCAATTCTCATATAAAAATTTAATTCAGGTACCACCTTTCCCTTAAAAAATTTTTTTTGGAATCGGTTAATGTGGTTCACAACATACATAAACAAAAATATTCCGATGAATCATAACCCCTCCTAAATTTTTTGGAAGTCTGCTAAAAACATTTCAACTCTTTGTAACGTATTTTTAATTGTAGGCTATTATTGGGTACAGTATGACAGTATGAACTTTTTTCGGTACTTTTGTTATATCTACATACATACAGTGACGAACAAAAGTATTGGCACAGAAAATTTTTCGCAATGTGTGCAAAGTTTTTTATTCTAATTTCTTTTCGCAAAGTTTTTTTCGGTAAATATTGTTCATACTACAACAAAAAACATAAAAATAAAATCTGCAAACTTTGTGCAAAACTTAGGAAAATTCGATCATTAAAATTGTGAAACAAAGTTTTTCTGAAAGTCTATATTATATGTAAACTTGTGGTCAGCTGATTAAGTTAAGTGACATTTTGTCCAGTTTTGGTTACTTTTCTTTTGTTTATCTCATGTTTAATATTTTTTTTTTGTTAAAGTCTAGCACATTACATAAACAGCACCACATAAATCAAAATTTCAAACTTCGTACAAAAATTATAAAAATTCAACGAACTTTAATAATTAAACCAAAAAATTTTAAACTTTTTATTCAAATTTTTGTAAAAAAATTTAGGTATGCAGTTTAATAGCCCATTAAATTTTAGTAGGTTAAAGTACAAATTTTAAATCGCTAGAAAATCGCGATGATTTTTTATTTTTTTTTTGCTGACGGTGCTAAATTTTTAATAAAAAGCTCAAAATTTTTGGGTGTAATTGTTAGTTTGTTTAATTTTCATAAATTTTGTTCGAAGTTTGAAATGTCGATTTGTGTGATGCTGGTTATGTAATTTGCCACACTTAACTTAATAAGCTGACCACAAGGGTACATACGTTTGTAAGTAGAAAATTAAATTCTCAGGGCCTTTTGAATCCATTTAAATTTTTTTAAATGCTACTTTGCGACGATTAACTTCATATGAAAAAAGAAAAACACTTAAAATCGCCAACCTGGGAAACCTAAGAAATTACTTTTCTATATACAATCCAGACTTTTAGAAAAATTTTAAATCAAAAAGTTTCAAAACACACGAAACAATCAAAAAAACGATGGCCCAAATATAGGAAAACTGCGTTTTTAGTTTTTCTCTCTGACGTCAGTAGATTTTTAAAAGAATTTTGAATTTTCAAAGATATGATTTATTAAAAAAATTATTTAAAAAATGCTATGTAAAATGCCAATAGAGGCACCAAATGAAAGATAAGTCTGTAGAAATTAAAAAAAATATATATATTTTTTTTTGGGTGACAAGGACTAATGGTAAATCCCCTTTTTATTATTATTTTTATTTTTTAAGCTAATATGTACGGATAGAAGGGCGAAATTCTAGGATGTGGTGGTGTATATATTAGTCTTTATATACAGGCACTAAAACAAATGACACCGTGTTGACCTTTTTTAAATATCCATAATATTTTTCTGTTATGTTATTTTTCTATAAAAATATTATCCAAGCTTTAACCAAAAGCATATAAATCACAGTTTCAAACTTTATAAAAAATTTAAGAAAATTCAGCAATTTTCCATCAAAATTTCAAATCTGAATCTTTAGAACATTTGTGGGTATGCAGTTTTATAGCCCATACAATTTTAGTCTAATGATGTGCAAGTTTCAAACGGCTACAAAATTCCGTTGATTTTTCTAAAATCTAATTCTAAAAAATCAACCGTATTTTTTAGCCATTTGAAACTAGTACTGAGTTCAATGGGCTAAAAAACTGAATACTCACAATCTTTCTAGTAAATCTTATAAAAAAAGCTCGAAATTTCTACAAAAGTTTGATTTCTTTTTAATATGGCATAAAGTTTGAAACTTGGATTTACACGGGTTTTGTTGAAGAATAAACTATATTAAAAAAAAAAAAAAATAAAATTAATAATAATAATAGATTGGCGCTTACACACTCGGAGATTTGCCATTGCCTGCCGAAATATAATAAAAAATTAACCAATATTAAATATCAAAAAAAAAAAAAATTATGTTAAAACTTGTCAAAAAGTTGTGCGGCTGTAATTTTTTATGGGCAAAAATACAATGAGACCCCCGAAAACGGGTTTTTGATCCTAAATCCAAATTTTGAGGGCAGCTATATTTGGGATTTTGAGTATACAGTTTTTTATTGCCAAACTAGGCCAAAATATGTGCTATGTGACATTCCAAGTTAAGCGATTTTTTTTTTTAATTTTGTTAATTATCGGGTTTCTGAAGGTGTGGTAAGCGCCGTACTACGACAATAATTAATATAGATATTCTGCCGAAATCCTCAATAAAATCTGCGTTTTGTTAACATTAGTCCTGCAATCAAAGCAATAAAATTTAAAGTTTTGCAAAACCCCGATTTTTAACACTATGCTAAATATGTATGTATCATCATAAGTTTTCGAAAACCAATTACAAAAAATTGTCGATTCTCACAAAATAAACCATCTCGTCATAAAAAAAATATAAAACTAGTTCTAGAAAAACGCTCATTTTTCTGAAACATGTTTTTTATAAAGAATTAAACAAGAATTAATAGTGTAATTTTAGATCCCTAATTAACTGGTCTCCCCACTATGAAAATTTAAAAAAATAAACTGTTAACAGCTATGTTAGCTTTAGGACAATCATCTTATATATAGGAATGTTAAGACCGTTTCTTTAACTTTAAAACGACGTTAAGATAAAGTCTCTACGATGAGCGGAAGTACATGATTAGTCAGAATCACAAAAAATACGAACTTTGACAGATCATATCTCCGAAGACAAAAAAAGAAAAAAAAATCATTGAATACGTGTTAGCTTATTTCATGTATAGACCCATAAAAAATTGTATTCATTTTTTGTTTGGTACTAATATCTATTAAAATAGAAAAAAAGTAGTATCTAGTTAAAATAATTATTGAAAAACTAAAAAATTTTTAGTTAATCAAAATTTTTGCAACCTCCCATAGAACAGACTAATTAGGAAATTTGAAAGATAAATTTGGCAATTTATAATTGCATATTTTATTTAATATAAAAAAAATGTGGTTTATTCACGGATTAGTAAAAAAATGTATTATAAAAGAAATTAATTACACGTAAAAAAAGTTTAAGTCTGTCTAACCTCTAAGTAATACCAGATTAAAAAAAAACAGCAAGTTAGTAATAAAAAGTTGTATAGTTTACTCCGCCCAGTTTATGGCTCTCGCTTACAGAAGGCGTTCCGAGTGAAAGTATGAAGTCGCAACACGCACCTTTTAAACCTAACCTAACACTACTGAAATAAAACTCCATGCATATTATTTAGTTTAATTGTTTTTAGCATATTTCTATATTTCAAATTTACGGATAATACCATGCAATTAAATTAATTAATTTAAAACCTTTCTGTGGCTGTACGATGATATTACATTTTTCTTATAATAACTACAATATTTATAATTTGTGATGCCATTGATTATGTTGTGCACCATTCTGAGGATAAACGGACGAGTGTACCGGATTACATTGCTCATTTATAGATGTTGGTCCAATCAATGGAGACCAATGCATTTGGTAGGGATTCGTACCGATTGGCGCAGACGAACCATTGCCATACGAATTGGCAAAAGGTGAAAAATAATGCGGATGGTTGTATGAACTATAGGCAGCATAGTCGGGAAAATGTGTCGAATAATCACACGGCGCGGGCACATTTTGGCCACCGCCTGCATGCATAAGGCCTGTGCTGCTATTATCTTGCACCGCACCGAATGTATCGCCGATAAGACTATGATTTTGATTTAAATTTTGTGTACTATGAGGGGAATTTTGCGTTAAATTACTATAATGTTCATTGTCTATATTATAATTTGATCCGTACAGGTGTAGTTTTGGCTGCTGCTGTTGATGGAATAGTGATGAATAGGGCGATGGTGCGTATGGTGATGAATGTGCAGCATTTAAATGACTGTGTTTCAGTGCTTGACTTTGTGATGAGGACGATGCAGAAGATGACGATGATGCTGCCGCTGTGGCAGTTGCGCTGGCTGCTACTGCCGCTGCGGCGGCTGCTGTCGAAGATGATGATGAGGGCGAAGGTGTATAATCAGTAGATATTGGCATCTCTTTTTGTAGTTTTCGTTTATTATAATTACAAGTCTGAAAAGACTCAGTCGGTGTCATCATGTCGCCTAGGAGGGATATGAGTAAAGTTTTTCATCATTAATAATATAATATTATAAGTATGTATATGAATCTAGGCAAGGCCTTTGGGTTTTCTCACCTCTTTGATTCGTGTATTTCGAAAGATCGGGAGGCGTGAGACCACAAAATGGTGGATAATTACCCATTTGTTTGTAGGGATATGGTGCTGGTTCAGCCATTGGTTTATTAGTATATTGTGGTAGACATTTCTGCGGCAGAGTTTGAAGTGAATACAATTTTTTTATAAGATATTTTGTTCGAGCAAATAATTCAAAGCAACACTTACTTGATTCATAAGTGATGTCTGTGGTGGGTTATTCTTATCAAGGCTGTGTTTTAAAGGATAAACTGCTTCTTTCTTTCCCTGCTCCAACTCATGATGTTGATCCTGCTGATGATGATTTCCCTCATTCTTTTTCAAAGCAACACTTTCTTCTATTTGCTGTTGGTTTTGTTGTTGCTGCTGCTGCTGTTGTGGCTTCGGTGCTAGTAATTTTTGGCTACCTCTCGCTGTATTTGCAAACTCTTGCTTGGTGGTATTATCGTTTATATGTGATGCATAAGCCTTTTCGATGCTGATCGGGTTCGGTTTATGCTCAACCTTTTTCAAGCTATCAAATTTAGTATTGATATCATCCTTTGGCATTTGCAAATCTGCCTTATATTGATTTGCCTGCGGGAATTCCTTGCTTTTAGCTGAGCTTGATTCCAGTGATTTCTTTGCATTAGTGTCGGCTGTGCATTTGTCAAAGCCACCAGTTGATTTTTCGGTGACTTCAGTACAACTGTTTTGAGATCCTTATGAAGAATGAATAATTTAAATTAAATTGCCTTTTGTTAAAAAAAAACGTACATAACTCTTATGTAAGAGCTAGAACATGACAGTGCAATGGAGTTTGTGTGAAGAAATTTCACCGGTACCGGCGGCATCGTGCTTCCCATATTATCTACACTAACCTTAGTTTAAACCAGTTTGCTCGAGCGTTTTAACTAAGTTTAAACCACAGTCAGATTTAACCATTCCCTATAAAAACAGATCCATCTAAAAATATGCAGTGCCCTTATGTGATGATAACATAGATTTTGACACCTTTCAAACTTTTAGAGCAGTGGTGGGCATTTTTTTTTTTTTCCCTAGAACATGTAATTGAGCTACAAAACGATGCTTAAAGCGAAGCATTCACACTTACATATTTGACAGTCGGCTGTTCCTTTGTTGGTATTTGCCAAAACAAATTTGTTATAAAGTACGTGCGCCCATTTTTGTTTTAAAATCAAACCGCTTTTAAGCATAACTGTTGTGTTTGCGTTTTTCGAAAAATATTTAATAAATATATGTAGCTTCTTTCAAAAAGCATCAAGTATTAAGATTAATAGAAGTCTCTTTAAAATACATACATACGTACACAACTTTTTATACCCCAAAAAATTGGCTATGCTATGAATATTTTATGCTTTAAGAGCATTAAACTGTAACACAATACCGACAATTAAAAACGATAAGAATGTAATGACAACAATATCCAATGAAATCATTGATAACATAAATAATAGGCCATTAACAACAGAATGCTTATGTGTTGTAATCTTATTATTTTAACATTTTTGGTGCAACAGCCATAAGCGCCTTGAAAGAAATTGTACCGATCGCCTCCAAATTCGAATTAACGCACTAGTGCCGACCTGGCGGCTCTGGTCATCACCACATACATTTGTAATTTTGGTAGCTTTCATTGCAAGTTGAAGGCTTGAAAAGTTTTCAATGAAAGCTGCTTATATGTAACTCATACAATTCTATTGCTGCAATGCTAATATGTACATATTGGCCACAAATATTTCAAAGCAATGAAATGATGAATGTGAAATAAATAAATAAAAAGTTCACTTACCTTTTGCTGTGTTGTCGTTTTCCTTCTGATTTGCATTATCCGTCTTTGTTTCTTCGCTCTTCTTTTCAGATGTGGTATCGCCCTCATTTGTTATATCAATAACTTCATCTTTATCCGTCTTATTATTTACCTCTGTCGCTTTACTGGACGTTCGTATTGCAATTATTTTCCCACTTTCCAATTGCATATATATTCCTTTCGCTGATTTTAATACCATAACGCGCTGACCGGATTTCAATATAATATTCGATTTGTCATTCGAATGAGTGGGTATGACGACGTCTAAAATATAGAAAAAGGTAGTTGTTTTTTTTTTTGGGTTGAAAAGGCAATGGTAAAATTATACATACCTAGCGGCAAAGTCATTTCTTGTGCAGTCATGCCTTGTCGCTGCCAAACTTCAGCTGGTATCCAACGTGTTGTCCGTATGCCGCCACTTTTTGTTGCAGGCATAGTTTTGGTTGTTTGCATTGGTCGTATCTGGAAAATAAATATGTATCACATTATTTTATTAAAGAAAAGTAGCTTTCATTCATTTATGCGTACATATGGACATAAGTATATATGTACATATATGAAATTAATATTTACCGATGCCACAGGACGCGTTACAATACTGCCATCGTTACGCACAATGCGATACTGATTCTTAACGGGTGCACAAAATGCTTGCTTAACGCTGGCCTTTTTCTCCATCTCATAGCCACGATGAGCTTGCCTTTTCTCAGCCTGTGACAATTTCTTCTCTTTTCGATCAATCAACAGACTTTCATGGAAGAATGGTTCCTTGGATAAACTAGTTTTGTGCTCAACGACAATTTTGCGTATTAGAACATCCTCAAATGATTCGAGCGGTGTTGTGAATTCTGGCACTTCCGATTGAATTTTTTCATCATCATCGTAATCATGACAGAGATTGGTTATATCTCGTATGGATAGATGTGCATCCGGATTGCATTCATCGACAACTCTATCGGACATTCCTTGCTTTTTAATTTGTCTATCATAAATTTTCTTTTCTAAACACTTATCCATTACTATTCTATAAACGAAACACGGCTTTCTTTGACCATATCTAAAAAATGGAAAAAAATAAAAAGTTCGAGTCTAATGGATTTCTGAGTTGAAAAGGGTGAAGGCATACCGATAAATTCTATATACTGCTTGTGTGTCGTGACAGGGATTCCAGCTAGCATCGAAAACTATAACGCGATTGGCGCCGACAAGATTAATACCCAGTGATCCAGCTCTGGTTGATATCAAGAACAATTTGATGCTAGCATTTGAATTGAACTCATTTACGAGTCTTTCACGTTCTTGTGAAGTTGTGGAACCGTCTAAACCTGAAGAAAAGGATCGGTAATTCATTGATAAGGTGACTCAAGATTCACTTGTTTAAGTTAATTAAAATATATTTTAAGTTTAACTAAACAATTACTTATTACTACATAAATTTTATAACATTTATTACTTACGAAAGTAGGACAGCCCGCGTCCCCAAAACATATCCGAATCCGGCATACGCGTCATTTGCAAAAATGTCTCTATCAAATTCAATGTTAGGAGACTTTGACTAAACAAGAGCACTCGGTCGCCAAGCCTGACACTCTCATTTAGAATGCAAAAGAATATTTCCATTTTTGGTGAATTTTCCACCAAACCGGGTCGGTATTTTTTCATTAAGTCCATAGCCCATTCATGCAATGTAGCGTCATCAGCTTTTCCTTTTCCGGCATCCTTCTCATTGCCCAATGTACTTGCGCTAGTCAACAATTTAACATCTTCTATCAAAGAATCTGCACTGGTAATACCTGTTCCATCACTACTTGTATTTGTTAACAATGAATTGTTATCTCCTTGCAGTGCCTCATTTTTAATGACCGGACAAAGTGTCATGTCGATGTCCGTCTCTACAGTTTTTATTTCCTTCGTATCCAAATCTACAATTTGCGAGGAGCCACCGCCTTCATTTGTTTCGTTCGGCGTTTCCTCAGCTCGTTGCGGTACCATGCCAACGTAATTGGGCTTTGACAAGGATTCAATATTATCGGTAACAGATTGATAGGGAAAATAGTTAACATTAGATTCTTGCCAATAATGATTGCCATGTCCACCCAAGTATGAAGGGTCATCGTTTTGCTGCTGATTGTATGGATCTGATAAAAGTGAGCTGGAGAAAGACAAAATATTAGTTTCCCCTCAGCAACATAATGCAACTGTAAGAATACGTGATATCGTCGGTGATACTGCAAAACGTTCTATGTCACTTATTACCTCTGGTGCTTAATTGATCTGTTATCTGTATCTGATCGCTTCTGGCAATCGTTCATCTTCATCAGCCAAAGGTAAACAGTTTTGTCATTTGTTTATTATGGTGTAACGATTTGCAGATGCATTCCGGTGCAAGTAAGAGACCATCCAAGTGTCAAGAGTATTAATAGACATAGACTGTTTTGCAGTATCACCGACGATATGCAATAAATATTGCCAAAATGTAAAAGTGAAAAGAAATTATTCGCGAATAACTTTTATTTAAACCTTTAGTTTGAAAGGAGTATGCAAGTTTTCAGTTATTACTTCTTCTTTTTTTTTGTAATAAAACGCATGCTAACCCTTTAGAGATAATGCATAAACTTTCATATCGCTCCTTTGCTGAAAGATCGCCATAACTCAAAAAATCAAAATGCTATAAAAGGGATTTTGAAGATTCTGGTTATGTTTTCCTCATTGAGCAATCATAAATACCTAAAAAATTATAACATACAACAAATACTATGACAGGACAGTCCTCGTCGAGGTTAGCCTTTCCAAAGCCTTCGACGAAGACAAACCATGCGACGCACTTCCCGTTCCAAGGCTCAACCACCTCTGTGAAGAGTAGTGTTATCCTGCTGCTACCATATCAAAAACAAAATTAATAATACAATTTAATCCAAAGGCTAAATTTGTAATCAAATTTTACTTAGGTATCTTTTTTCATCAAATGGTGATTGCTTTTTAGCGGAAAATATAATAGCTGTGAGAAAGAAAAGTTTTCCTGTTATATCAGACCCAATTGATAGATATCATTTAGAACAAAAGAAAATTTCCGCATACTAAACTAAGTTTTGTTTATTGTTTTATTATGCTGGTTCTCCAACAAATGAGCGACACTTGATTTAATAAATTTATTTAGTCATTCTATAAACAGTGTGACCACTTACCTCTTCATCAAATTGGAAAATACAGTGTTCGGTTTGTTCACCACTAAAGCCTGGATTTCGTGTGGCGCCACCTCACACGCTGCTGGTGATTGCTGTCCTGACATCTTACACTCAGGTGCTGGCGAATTAGCTTCCGAGGATGTGTGTTCTTTTGGCATGATATCTGGACCCATTTGGTCAGTACTAGCAGATTCAATTGATTTATCCTCTTGTGGCAGTATTGATTTTTCTGCTTCGCCTGGCACCGCGACTGGAAGTACAGGCGGGACAATAGGCGGCTCGCCAATAACGTCAGTCTCCTCCATTTCTAATTCTAAATCAATTTCTTTTCGTTTTAAGAAACTATACAAAACGTCTGGATGATTCCATATTTTACAACAAACTGCAAATGCTTTCAACGGATTAGGAACAGACTTGGTGCGCACTATGTCATTCATGAATGTATCGTAAAGTTGACGCTGAAACGATGTCATTCGCGTTAGTACTACATATTCTAACTTCTTAGGTAGTGTTTGTTGCAGTACGACATGAGAACGCCGCTGCACAAAACCGAGCAGCAATGAATGTAGCACATGGGCGCGATAACGCATTAATTTGTGATCCTCGGGCGTTGAGTCAATACATTGCCCATTCTGTATGGGACGCTCAAACATGTTGCAAAACTCATTGCGTGTACCAAGATAATTTGGACGCACAAAATCAACCATACACCAATATTCGAGTAAGTTATTTTGCAATGGATAACCAGTTAATACAATTCTACGTCGTGTACGTATTTGTTTAAGTGCGAGTGATATGCCAGCATGTGCATTCTTAATGCGATGTCCTTCATCACATATAACCAAATCCGGTCCTGGTTTGACAAGTGCCTGATGTACACTTTCCATTAATCGTCTATTCATTTCGCTGCCATTCCTCTCGCAATTAACCGCTTTATTGCTGCGACGCTTACGTGTTGTCATTAATTTCAATGCAAGCAGTCTGAACAATTCATAACCGATTAGAAGTACGCCACCCTCCTCGGCCCATTTAAGGATAACTTTAGCGCGAGCGGTCAAAGTTTTATGTTGATCGTTGAGTATGAAAACATCGAATTGGCGGGGTCGTACATTTTCGGGATTGTCGGAGTATTTCGGTAACCACATGTTAAATTCAGATACCCAATTTTGCAAAGTATTAATAGGCATCACACAGAGGACTGTTTTGGAGGGTGTATGCCGCAGGAAGATATCACAGAAACAAATCACTTGAAGCGTCTTTCCCAAACCCATTGAATGTGATAGAATACAACCGAATCCGCTGGAACTCTTGAAACGTTTTGTTGATTCAATAATGTTGTCGAAGAGAAATCGTACACCCCCAATTTGATGTGGTTTTATAGTTCGGGCTATTTGTGGTGCCACGAAAATGTCATCTTCACCTTCTGGATGTCCGATGTTGACCAAGACGCGTCCTTGCTCATCGGGAATATTGTACGCATCTTTTACGTGCAAACCACTATTGCCTGGATCATCTGCCTCCTCTTCATCTTCCAGGTCCTCTTCATCGTCGGATAACATAATGCAATCATCCTCAGATGAGCTATCTTCTATTGTAACTACATCACTGATGACCTGTTCCTCCGCAGGCTTCACAGCATCTTCATCATCAATTGGTGTTGTTGATATTGGTGCAATTTCCTTGCTTGAAACTGTCTCAGTTTCCAACTTATTAGTCAGTTTATCGCCAACGCTGTTTGATAAAGATTGTGAGCTGGCATTTAGTTCAGACTCAGTTGAAGGTGTATCAATTTCTTCGAATGGGGTTTCACTGGTGACCTTTGCGAAAGTTGTGCCACTTTGTAGTAGGGAAAGTACTTTATTTTGGGTGCGCACAAAACTTCTGTTTACTGCCGCTTGACGTTGAGTTTCACGTATGATTTTCTGTTGTTCCGCAACGCGAGCCAAACGCTCAGATTCCTCCCGCTGGGCAGCTAGGGTATTCGTATCCAATTGGTTTTCGTCAAAGACTTCACGTATATTTTTGCGCATGTTTGCAGTCTTTTTCTCCTCAGCAGACATGTTGTTACTCAGTTTTCGTGCATCTACGATATCATCATTTTCAGTATCTTTCTTCCTTTTCGGTCCATAATGATCGTTGGGATAGCCAGTATCACCAACACTGGGGTAACTAACTGTCTCCAGCGTGCTGGTTTGTTGTTTCATAGAATCCAATGATTGTTTGGCGTCCATGTCGTTCAACAGAAGTGGATCCGTATTTCTAAGATATTGCCCAAAGGGATCTTCCGCACTAACGCTATTGACGTCGGGACGCAAATAGGTTTGGAATGGCTCAGTAGGCTTATTTATGGGGGGCGGTTTCATTGCAGCATTCTCGTTGTACGTATCCATTCGATTTGGGGAATCCATGATAGATTTCTGGAAAAGTTTGTTTCATAGTGTTAGCAAATTGTAGATGTAAAATACAAGCATGAGAATATACGTATATGTACATGCATACACTTTAAAACCAAATTAATGCAGTTATGTACTAATAAACTCCGAAGAATGTGTACATATATGTAATGTATGTCTGTTTAATATTTCAGAACATCACTTGAAGCAAACACAAATCTTCACATCTTCACGCAATTGCTTTTGCATAAGGCCAGCGAGTTGTGAACACGATTCACACATTCAAGCAAACAAATTTTCTTGGTACCTCAAGAAAAAGGAGTGCCGGAATTTTTAACTTTTTAGTTGGTAAATCCTTCGCATTTTCAACACTCCATTTACTGCGCTTCGTATTTGATTCAAGTAAGTACAAACTTCAATTAGCGTTTAACTTTAAGATACATACAGGTACCTTTTATGGCTGAAATCTTGACAAGAAAAATCTGACTGCTACAGCAATTAAAAACGAGAACTGTGAGAGACGATTTGAAGAAAGGAAATATATTTCTATATGTTGCTACTCACAGCGACCATGCTGGCCCATAATTTTCGACTCATTCGCCAAGTTCATGAAAGCACAGGAAACCGAAAATTTTCTTTTACATATGTATATGGGTAATTGAAAATACTCATTACCGTACATCGGTAAACCTTAACTTCGCTTTCCACCGCATTCTAATCATAATATACACACATTATGTTAATACATATATTAACATTTACACATGTAAGTACATATTATCAATTTGTAGACATTGCACATAAATTACTTCTTCTGCTGCATAAATTAATGAGCCTACGAAAGTTGCCTTTTCTTCGTTGTTTATAAACAATTAATATTATCACTTAATTTATCAATAAACAAATTATGTACCTGTTATACACAGGTATATTTCAAAGACTTGATAAGAACGTGAAAACTCTTCACATATTCCAACCGATATACTCAAACTTATAGTCGTTCCAGTTTAAAACTTTGTATGGAAATTATTTAAATTTTTGTAGAACATTTTCTAGTTTTAAATCAATTACATGCAGAAAAAATAGGATATCCCAGCTCCTAGTGACACTCTTCTTTTTACACCAAATCAACTGTTGACAGATATGTATAGCAGAGAACTTGAAGAGGAAAATGCGGAATCGAGTACAGAGTGGTTGAGAAATAATAAATCGACCGACAGTACCGAGATATATCGATATTTTTGGTAGGTTACATCAGCGTTACACGATCAAGAACTTGCTTTCAAGTCTGGTTTGACAATCATATTTTCAGTTACCTCAGAAGTCCACGGCAAACACCTATTGCCTACCAAATGTCAATTTTAAAGATAGTTGCGAGCAATATGATTGCAAGTATTTGTGTATGGGCAGTTTAATATCCTAATATAAACATTTACCATATGACGCCACCAGACAACATTCTCTCTCTTTCAGTAGTTAAAACCATTTAAATACTAAAAAAAAAACTGCTGAATAATTTCCTATAACGTAATTATAAATAATCCAATAGTGAACAGCTTCTTATTTTGATTTGATATCAAACTTTTATAAATGCTATCACCAGAACTTATTATCTCTACCTGGACACATCATATGTACACCGATGGCTCCAAAATGGAACGCGGAGTTGAAGCAGGTATTTACTCTGAGTCACTGGGAGTAAGAAGATCAATTCATCTGCACGATTTCGCGAGTGTCTTCCAGGCAGAAGTATTCGCTATAGCCGAAGGCTGCCGTCTCTTAGAACGTAGTGGATTGCGTCACGGCGAGCGAGTAGCCATTTTCTCAGATAGCCAGGCGGCCATTAAGGCCTTAGCGTCTTTTACAACAAGGTCGAAACTAATCAAGGAGTGTAGGACACTGTTAAATACAGTAAGTCGTCAACTCGTCAAGTCTCCTCATAACCAAAGTTGGGCAACGCCAACGCCAACATAACTCGGAAAGAGGGCCAACCTCAACTATTCTCGCGGGTCGTTTGTCAGGTGTTCCAAATAATCAAAATTATGTGATTTCATTTTCCTTTTTAATCAAATACGGGCAAGAAATATATACCACGTTTATACGTAAGCTATTTGCAAATAAAAATAATTTGCAAATACCTAACTCACTGTTTATTCGATGGTGAAAAATTCTTTTTTAATATTGCCTGATTATAAAAAGGCAATAATATGACCATCGAAAAGGATAATAAAGTTAAAAATGGCAACGCCAAAGTTGTATGTGGACGCGCCTTTATTTGTGTTTAATGACACCCAAGACCGCTAGAATACTGTATTTATTGTTATCAGGCAAAATGTTAGGAATTGAGACCGCATATTGCTCTTGGCAAGCAATAATTATCAGAGCTTTTATCTTGATAAATATTGCCAGCAATTTGGTACTTTGACATTTTCATATGCGCGATAACTTCGTTGCGGCAACATTATTGATATTTTATTATTAAAGCGGAAATTGAACTGTTTTCTGTTCAAATTTTGTTATTATGTATATGTATGAAATAGCATATTTTTTAAATTTTTTAAGTGATTAAATATAGCCATCTTACAAATGCTTTTATCAAGATAAAAAGTGCCCGCGCACATGTATTGCCTCTGATAAAATTTTTATCAGGCAATAAAAATGACACTTGGTACGCAAAAACTTTTGCATATGGAGACGGGCCATACGTTGCTCTAGTACCACTTAGCGCCATGGTTAAACGAATATTAGGTTATTCCTTATCTTTTTGGACTAAAATCTGAAAAGTGTCAAAATGCCAGAGCGTAAGCAAAATGCGCTCACTAAAAGAGAATAACAGAAAAAAGTAAAGGAACGCAATAAAACAAATTTTTAGTCCAAAGAATGGCAACAACAACACTAACATCAAATAAGAAGTTAAATGTATGTTCAAAGCACATTCACACAAGCACAAGCACAATAAACACTTACTATATCAATTATTTTTTGCTTCCTTCCAATTTCAATTCACTTTTTTTACTTTTTAGGTTATTCTCACTTTTTGTGCATTCTTTAATTTCCGTCAATTTAAATTCAGTTGAGTTTGACACTTTTCAGGATTTTGCCAGAAAAAATTCTTCTGACTACTCGGACTGAAGAGAGTCACTCTCACTGAGTGTTGCTCTCTCATTTTTGCTGTCATTTTCGAGTTAAGGAACGCTTTTTGGACTAAATCTGACTACTTCGGACTTTTTCTGACTATTTCTGGGAGATAGGGAACGCAACTATTCTAAGTAGGGTTATAGGGAATTTACATGATTCAATTTTCACAGGCGATTAGTAGAATCAAAAGTTGAACGAAAGTAGGCAGCCGACCAACTTCATTGAAAGCCATGAACAATTAGAACAGATCTGATCGGTTGAGAAGCCGCCATTTGCAATAGCAATTGAGAAAAAAGTGTGTGACGTTCGTAATTTTTGACGTTGGCTATTTCTGTTTTGCTTCTTTCTTTATGTGTGTTTTGTCGGTGGTTTATTTCATTGATTTTTAAGCGATTTTCAATAAATTTTGTGTGCAAATGTAATTAAAATGAAGTGCGCGGTGATTGGTTGCAAAAACGTACAAAAATAATAAATTGGTTAGCACAAACATGTGCTACAAAATTGCTTGAATTTTTTTCTTTATGCTTCGTCTTCATATTCTTTGTTTACTTTTCAAAGAAAATAACATGGTGCCGAAATTATAAACGTCAGCCAGAAAATTACTTTTTTCTTTTGCTTAACCTTGTCAGATCTTGTGTAATTGGATCATGATTGAAAGCGATTAGTTGAAAGGCCGTTTACACCAGGCGATTGTTGCTTTCAACTAAGGGCCGGTTGTTCAATGTCTGCTTCATACTTTTTGCGGTCTACACGTGCGGTTTCTCGCATGCGTCGTCACACAAGCGAGATTTTCCAGTACGTGAAGACAGCCGGTTACACGCAAAGCCCGCATGACCCAAAAATACAAGATCACGTAAGAATGCGACGTTGTATTTGTAACTGGTTTTGAGAAAAAAGTTTGCGAAAGCGGGTTTGTCAGCTGAGCGTTTGTTTACATCACAAGCACCACTATTTTACACTTTTATTCAAGTAAAGAAGAGTTAATTCAACATGACAACACATTTTAAAGCATTTTGTTGCATCATTTTACCTAAATTGTGCGTTTAAAGTGGCTGACAAATAATTTTGGCTAATTTTGGTTTTCGTTGTTTTCTTTGCTTTGTTTACTTTTCGCTCGTTTTCCAGTGAAACAAGATGGCGTAGAACCCGCTAAAAAAATCGACTTTTTCACTCTCTTGTCTTTCGTTCTTGCAAAGCCCGGCCGGTCCACATAGAACTTTCGCGTTGGCTTTGGCGTTGGTTTGACAGAACGCACGTTAAAAGTATGCTTGCTACAATGAACGCTCGACAGCGAATGCTTGGGCTACTAAATTAACACACTAACGACAGATAAATTAATATTTCATATCAATAATTGCATTAAAACCGATATTTCTTGGCTGCGCTTGATTAAAAAGGTAAAATATTTCACATAAGTTTATTTATTTGCAACAGCTGACGAGCGACGCACGCGTAAAGATGAGATCTGGCCATCTTTTAACTTTGTGTTGGCGTGAGCGTTGGCGAATTTTGGCTATGTGGACGGCTGCATTTGAATTCATGTATTCATAGGCACATTACGCGCCTAATCAAAGTAGAGTAATCGTTTCATCATACCGAAACGAATGCATGACGACTCGACTTCTGCACACTTCCACGCCCTGCATAAGTCACCAGCTAATAAACACTTTCTGTACATAACAAATTTTTTGGCCGTTCTTTCGCAACACGCACTTCCGCAAATATTTCTGCTCCGAAGTACTGCATAAACGCTTGTGGTTTAATGCAATTTGCACGAATTTTAGCACGAAATCGTTCATTTCCAATTATTTTCTATTGAATTGACAAATAAATTTTATTTCCAATACAAAAAAGTGAACAAATGACGATTTCAAAACTGTAAGCGCCTTACAATGTTGGGCGCTTCGATTCATGAAGCTTTTATGATTAGGCGCAAGCATGATTNAGAGAAACATTTCGGGAACGGCTTTGCCGTGCCCTATGTACACAAAATGCAGCGATTCGTCCCAGCGCTACACTTGCATCTACGCTTCTTGCATCTTGACGGCTGTCGCAATTTAACACACAGCACTTCATTGTATTAGTTTTTCGCTGTCTTCTACTAAAAAATTACTCATAAATTGCAAATTAACACAATTTAAACTGATTTTTCACTGATCACTCTTTCGCTGATTAGTAAACAAAGGTTTATTTACAAGTTACCACAACTGTCAAAATCGGCGAAACCAAAGTAGCGGTACCACTGACGGCGCCACCTTTGTTGGCTGCACCGTGGGAGTTAGCCATTTTTTCGCTTCGCGCTGCAGCTTCAGCGATCTATGTGGCATGCTTTGCGAATTGTATGAAAATCATCTTATCTATCAAAGCGAATCCTGTCGCGTAAAGCGAAGCAAAAGTTTTATGTGGCACCAGCTTTACAGAGCCTGTAAGGTCGGTGTTATGCAGAAATTTTGTTTGGCAAACTGCGTGCAATTGTTGTTGCAGCAAACTCGGAGAGAGCGAGTTTGGCGACTCTCACAGCAAACTAATTTTGTTTGGTCAAACTGCAGCAAATTCGGTGTTGTCATATACAAAAATTTTAAATTTTGCGCGTTATGTACATCTGAAATTCTCATTTCGTGTTGGCAATAGCCAAGAAAACCATAATGAACGTGCAACCCTGTGCCAAACTCGACATAACCACCTCCGAGCAAACTAAGCAGCCGCCATTTAATTTGGCAAACAAAAGTTTGTCTGCATAACACCGACCTAATACGATGTTTCCACGCTTCGTAATTCGCTCTCTAAGTAATTCGTGAATTACCCTGTTTCCACACCACACATTGAGCCTCCGCACACTGGCCTGCTCAGTCCCCCTAAAACCGGTTTTGTGTGGATAAGAGGGGGAAGAGAGTTCGAGTTTACCTCGTTCATTTCAGTCCGCGAAAAGAGCGGATTGACGTTGGACTGACACGCACACATAGACATGTTTTCTATTTCGTTTTGTGTGCATATGCCACATGCACTAACACAATCAGGCGTAGTTCATGTATACAAAACTGAAACCTGTTTTCAGCCGACTGCCCAGTCGTGTGCGTTCGAGTGGTGGACTGCTCAGTCCGACTGAGTAGGCTAGTGTGCGGAGGCCATTAGTAATTCGTTTGGCAACTCTAGTTCTTGTTCTTGTTCTTCGCTATTTATTATTATTTTTGTGTACTGCAAATATCGAAGATGGAGCTAAAATTTAAGTTATCATCAACAATTTTAATTTATATAGCATATTTTATTAATATTATTCTATAACTATAAAAATTGCCAGCAAATGGGACCAGGCTGCTGAAAACTTCGATTTATTTCCGATAAATATTAGAGAAGGCACCGATCTCTCAAAATTTTGTATGGCGAATTACGTAACTCGAAGGTAATTGGCAAGTCGAACGACGAATGGGAGAGCGAATTACAAATGAGAGATCGAATTATGAAGCAGGGAAACGCCGCATAACCTAGAGCAGCTCACTAAACACAATAATAAAAAAAGGAAGATATAAGTTGGATATAAGAAGGGAACGCATAAACGGAGTAATAAAAGCCCCTATTTCTTTATTTATTTATTATGACTTATTAAATTTATAAATTATAAATAAAAATATGCGTTTAAATGGTTACAAGATAGTCGCAATTGAACCGGTTAATAAATACGTAGCTTATCGATAAATCAGTAACTCACAAATTGTCAACTATTTCATTTGGTAATACGGTTTTTAGTTAAAAGTAACCATATATGTAACGATTCAACAGCAAAACGCATCTTGGCGTGCCAGAATTTTTATAAGATACGTTTAATTTTTCATATAAATATATTGGGACAGAATTTATAAATCTATAAGGTATAGAAAGCATACTAGTGTTGAAATATATCATCTAAAAGTTTTAAGAGTCGACATTTTTGCAAAGTTAGTGTGAGTGATGTGTGCGTGTGTATATGCATATGTACATAGTGCGAGTGTTTCGCAGTTTTTGAGTTGTAGTAAATTTTACATGTTAATGGCAGCAGCATGTTTGGCCAAAAAATATTGTAAAAATTGGAATCTACGTTTTCACTTGATAAGAATATTATAATTTTTTGAAATCAAAACTATTTCAAAAGTGGGTGCAGCTTGGATGCGTTAAGAAAAGTTTTAATGTTGGTAGAATTTCAATTTGACCTACATCCAAACATACATATATACCTGTATGTGCATACGACTTCATCCGGTACAAGGAATATCTAAACGCGTTAGCATACCTAATAAGTATTTTTTGTTGCTGGCAAATTGCAAGTGCAGTGCTGATGAAACACTTGCGTTTTTAAATACGATATGCATATACAATAGTAAATATATATGTACATATATATATGCACTTACGAACGTTCTCTTACGAAGATTACATACATACAATGGTCACTTATTTAGACGTAGATACTAAAATTATATTTTTTCTTTTTAAAACAGGACTTACATATGTACATCTGTACATATGTATGCATGATTGCGTAAAAATAAATAATTGAGAAAATATAAGAAGTGAATTTGAATTGCTGCATGTTTTATACAAAGTTCAAAACTAAATAATGTATGTATTTCTTTTATTGAAAAATTCCTTTCCTTGACCGCCTTAACGTATGTCCTTATAATGATTAAAATCTTTGCTTAATTAATTTATACTTAAACTTTTAGATATACATAAAATGAGGGAATCAGCTCATGATATAAGTCTTGATACTTGGAAGCAATGGATTTTGGAAGCTATTTCAAAAATACGTTCCCAAAAGCAACGGCCCAGCGTTCAACGCATTTGCCAGGCTATTGGAAGCCATCACAAATTTCACGAAGATATCGTTGCAGAAAAATTAGAGGAAGCAGTCGAGTCTGGAGCCGTAATTAAAGTATATAACAAAGGATTACATTCCTATAAAGCCCCTATGGCAAAGAGAAGGATTAAAGTTGAGAAAAATAGTAACTTATGTAAAATAGTTGCAAAAGCTGTGCATGATTTGGGAGAATGTGAGGGGTCAACGATAAAAACTATTGAAAATTACATACAAAAATTCAATAACATTGATCTTGCCCCAGATGTAGACTTTAGAGCAGTTATAAAAAGTTCGATTAGAAAAGCAGTAGATGCTGGTTTTCTAGTGCAAGAGGGAAAATTATATAAAAAGGGAAGATCACTTACTACACCACGAAAATCGTCGTCAACACAAGAGGTATCTGTAACGACGGTAAGTAGATACTGCAAACGTTATCCTAATTTTCTGGTAATTTTTTCTGACTGAGGCAAGTTTTTTCTCACAATTTAGGGTGACGACAATTGTTCCTACTGTTCAGGTGACGCACAGAAAAATCGTAATGGTATACCAGAACCATTAAGCTCATGCAAAAAATGTGGCATGTCCTTGCATACGACGTGTGCAAACATCGCTGCTAAATGCAAATCACAATCTTACGTGTTGCTATATATGCTGGTTACTAAAGGTTCCATATGGTATTGCAAAAATTGCGCAGAATGCAGTGTATGCACATACACAGATCGGGGACCTTGCTTACTGGAGTGTTCGGCATGCAAGAAAATGTACCATTTGACGTGTTTGGATACTATACCAGATAAAAAACCTAAACATCCTTATAGGTACAAAAGAGAACATAACTTTAATTCGGTGTTTTGCTTTACCATTTTCTTTAAACTTTGTAGATGTAAGAATTGTATACTACAAAATTTTGATGTTGTTAAAAAGGATGTGACTAAAAAAGGCTTGGAGACAGGTAAAAGCCGGTAAGTAAATTTGTTTTCAAGCACGCTTTGCAATTATGGAAGGCATTTGATTGAGGAGAGTAAATTGGCATTTAACCCTTTTACGGTGGTAAACAATGTTTTGTGAACTTTTAAGATACAAATTTGAATTGACCATCTGGAATGTAGTTGATTGCAATTATTTCTTTTGTCTTGTCACTGTCATCCAGGTTTTTTTTTTCTTAATAATAGGGCGGTTTATAGATTGTTCTAAAAAAGTATTTTATTGTCAATTTTGTATGTTTTACTTTAAATTTAAGTTAACCTTTATTTGGGTTTACCAGCAGTTAACACTTTGAGAGAAAAGCTGAGTGGCACGCAAGTCTTCATCGGTTAATTTATTATATATCTTCTGTAGCCATATACTATTTTCCTCCATTTTGAGTACTTTACACTCCTCCCATTTGTCCAACATAAGGTCTCATACTCAACACTCGACTAGACTCGGAACTGGTGGGCTAGGACGGTGCCATTCGTACTGTCATCAGGTATGTAACTTGAGAATAGAAATCGCTGCATCTTTTAGGCGCATCAATATTACATAGTTACATCCCGAGCTAATAAAAGGAAGGTAAAAATACACGTGAAAACACCAGTGAAATATACTTATCTTTCAAAGTTTACACTACTGGCAAATGCAAATAGGGATTAAAACTTTAAAACTAATTAATAAAATTAAAGTAAAATACATATGCATGTACAAAATTAACAATAAAATATTTTTTTTTCGGAAAATCTATAAATGACCCTTTAACTTTTCAAAAAAGGACAGTTATTCGCCGCCATCTTGTATATCCGAAAGAATAAAGTTTTAGTTTTTCCTGTATTTACATAATTTGCATAATATTATTTCAGAAACCAAGCCGCCAGTGAATTGTCCAAGACTTCACGAGGTGTACGACCGGTTATGCCGTCAACATCCGAACACGCTGGGCCACGTAACAAAGAATGGATTAGTGGTAAGCTAAAGGATAAACGAGCCTTGGGTGGAACGACAGGCGTTTCTTCATGCAAGCGGCAAATCATCGACGAAATGGACGATAGCCCCACAACATCAAAATTATCCAAATATGAAAATTCTAAAGAATTATACAAAGACATTTCGCTAAGTCAAGCAATTAAATCGTCTCAGAGTTTACAAAAAAGCATTGCACATAATTCACACTTGAAAATGTTTAAGCAACGTTTCCTTAAGATGGAGTCAGGGGACTCCAAACGTACAAAGAAGAAAACTCCATCGGACTTGTCCTCATCGAGCTCTTCTAGCGATAGCGATGAGGATGACAACATGGAATGTGACGATGACAATCAAGATGATAGTACATCTTCGGGTTCATGTTCTTCGAGCAGTTCGGGCTCGGATTCAAGTGAGAGTAGCAGCGATAGTTCCGAATTCGATAACGAAGAAGAAGAAGACAATTTTGAAGAGAATGACGACGATGATTGTGATTCGGATAAAAGTGATTCAAAATCGAATATATTTATCTCACAAATTCCAGTAAAAAAGGAAATAAGTGTGCCTGCAAAAAACTACACGTCACCAAATAATAAAGCAAAAGATGAGCACTGGGGCTTTGCTGCTGTGGCTAAAAATCGCGTTGATATATTTTCACAATCGAGAAATATAGAATCAGATGGTTTTGCTTTAAAAAAGTGTGGCAACCTTTTAACTGGGTTCAATAAAAACATAGTCCCCGATGAGCTAAATACTAGCGGCAACAGTAAACAAATGAACTATAAGTTACTTCAAAGTCAAGGCAACATGGAGGCCGAGCCGACAGAGAAAAGAACACCGAAAGTTACCGCAAAAAAGGAGGATTTTCTAGAGAGCACCACCGCAACAGAAGCAGCGCACCTTAAGGGCGTCAAGAAGCCCGTGGAAAAGGTACAGAAAAAGAAAGTTGCAACACTCAAATCTGCACCTTTGGACACGAGACGCACGGCCTACAAGAGTGATGATGATGAGGTCCCATATTTGAATGAAAGCACTGTAATCAAGTACCAATTGATGGAAAATACAAATTATGCTAGAGGTGTGAAACCATTCACGAACGAAGAAAGTTCCTCCAATGAAAAAGTGGAGTACGAGGAGGTTTATCCAGAAAACCCATTTGGTATGTATCGCAAATAATTTTTCACTAAATAAATAAATGAGAATGAAGTAAACAGATTATGTATATATGTAAAGTTATTTTGATTGAAAGTAGTTTCGCTGAAACATACATCTAAAACTGTGAATTTTATATAGAAAACCAACCACTTCCAAATGGCGTTGAACAAAATGATATAACAATTTATAAAAAAATCCGTGAGAATGCAGCAAAGAAAGTGGCGGAGTTGAAAAGTTTAAATGCACTGGCCAACGCTGGTTCTGGTAACCCGCAAGAGCGGTGTCCATCGGCAATTGAAATCGGAAAGTGGCATATTGAAACTTGGTATTCGAGCCCGTTTCCCCAAGAATATGCGAGGTATGTTTGTGATTGATAGAACTTTCTTGCCGACAGTACCTTGTATAACAAAATTCATTATTTTCTTCTTTTAAGGCTACCGAAATTATATTTGTGCGAATTTTGCTTAAAGTATACAAAAAGTAGATCGGTTTTGGATAGGCATCAGAACAAATGCCTTTGGAAGCAACCGCCGGGCACCGAGATATATCGTCATAATGATATATCTGTGTTTGAGGTCGATGGAAATATCAATAAAATTTACTGTCAAAATCTGTGCTTACTTGCCAAACTATTTCTGGATCACAAAACACTATACTATGATGTTGAGCCTTTTTTGTTTTACATACTAACTAAAAATGATAAAAAAGGCTGTCATCTTGTGGGCTACTTTTCCAAAGAGAAACACTGCGCACAAAAATTTAACGTCTCATGCATACTGACAATGCCACAATTTCAAAGACAAGGCTTCGGTCGATTTCTGATAGAATTCAGTTATTTGTTGAGTCGGGAGGAGGGTCAGGTCGGAACGCCGGAGAAGCCGCTATCCGATTTAGGAAGACTTTCCTATTTCGCATATTGGAAATCGATAATTTTAGAGTATATTTACAACCACAGAAATGATGGCCGAATCACTTTCAAAGATATTGCCAACAAAACAGGCTTAACCGTCTCTGATATAGCATTAGCATTCGAGTTGTTGAATTTCATAAAGCTACGAAAGAACGAAGATGATATACGTTATCAAATAAATATCAAAGTTGATTGGGAAAAAGTAATCGTCCACTATAAGAAGCTGCAAAATTCCAAGCGCATACCTTTAGAAACAGATTGTTTGCGTTGGAGCCCATTGTTGTCCAAAGCATTGGCTGGCGATGGCATTAAATCGTCTGAAGAGAGTAGCTTCTTGGATAGTTCCAATAGATCTGAACATACAGCAATTGAACGCATGAGATCACGTAAATCCCACTCGTTGGTCTCGAACAGCTCTGCTTTTATAAAAAAGGAACTGAATACAAACGAAGGTGTGCAGCAAGGCGGTCATAGTAAAATTTCCAATTTCGTCAATGAATGCAAAATAACCAGCGCAACTGTTGAGCTAAATTTTCAGAAGCGAAAGGTTGCAGAAGCAAAAAACATTAATACGGATTTAAAAAACTCCATGCATGAGGTGATAGACGAAAGCAATGAGCCGCCGAATCAAGACGAGCACGAGAAAGGTAAAAGTAACGAAGCGCCTACGAAAATGGAAATAGATCCTGACGCTGCACCCGTTGCCGTTGCCGTCGCCGTCGCCGTCAAGGTAGGCACGAATACAGGGGTGGACGTCAGAAGGAATCCACGCAAGAGGCAGCTCAGTAAAGATGATTCCGTTGTAACGCCAGGCAACGTTGAAGGGCTGGAAATAATTCATAAACCGGATAAGAAAAGGAGAATGCAAACTTCACTAGTTCAACCGGCTATGGAAAAGCCCAAGGGCGAAATGATCGACACTAATAGTATTGACGATGACAAGTTGACAAGCCGCGCACAGAGGTTAGCGAATCGCAAACACAGTACACCAGCGGTATCCACCAATAAAAGAAAACACTTTGATCGTCAGAATGAATTGAAAATGAATATTAAACAAGAAGATGTGAACAGCACCGAAAAGATTATAACTGAAACTGAAGCTGTAGAGTCTCATGCGCCGGCGAAGGAGAGCACAGAGACAAATGACACCGAAGATAAATCCACAAAAAATTGTAACAATGACAAACCTATAACAACGGTGCCTAAATTGAGAGGCAAAAAGAGCAATGAGAAGAAACCCAGTGACATCTATAGTGAAAACAACGCCGTTGCCAACACTAACGAGACCAGTACAAATGAAGCCAGAGAGGTTGAACAAGACAAACAGGAGTCAAAAAACAGCACAGCTCCTCCTGCCAGTGAGACAAATGAAACTTTGGCAAATAAGGTCGAAACGAACGACAATCCAAATGTAATTGAAGTCCAGCAGCAGCAACAACAGCAGAAGCAACAGCAACAGCAGCAGCAAGAACAGAAGCAAGAAGAACAAGAACAGCAAGTTATTGAACCACCAAATGCTAGCAAAACAGAGGCCTCACCTGCAGCGGCATCGGGGAACGATGAGAAAGTCTTAGAAGCCGTGGCAAAAAAGACAAAAAAGACGTTCGCTGAATTAATGGTCGAAAATACAGATACAAACCTTGCCGAACCGGAGCTAAAGGCGAATTCGGAGGATTTCAAAAAGAACATTGAGCATGAAAACGACCATAAGCAAGAGATAAACAGCGCCGGAGAAATTGAAACCAATATGGATAAAACAGCTGTTACAGATGTTAAAACAACTGATGATAAGTTAAAAGTGGATGAAGTGGTTAAGAAAGACGCAACACCATCCAAAGAAAAAGAAATAGAACACGTCGAACAGAAGCTAGTGCCGGAAATCAAGACTACAATAAATACAACCACAAAAAGCGAGCCGATGGCGGAGTCAACTGTTGATAAAGAGCCGTTATGTAAAATAGAATGCATCGACAACGAAGCATCGCCAAAAATGGCCGCACAAATTTCTCCGAAAGAAGTTATAAAGCAAGACAACGCAAATTCGCCGCCCTTCATTGCTGAGAAGAGCAAAGATAATGAGAAAAAAGATGTTAGGGAAAATAAATGCGACACAAAAAATTTGATAAAAGCACCACCAACAACGCCCCCTGCTTTGCCAGCAGCTGTGCCCATCTCAATGCCAGTGCCCACATCAGCGGTACCGACACCGGCACCACCACCAACAAAATCACCAGTAACGTCGCCAATGGCAACACCTGCGCCTGTAACAGCAACACCACAATCACCTGCACCTCCACCGGCACTGGCACCGGCAGCCCTACCAAAGCCAACGCTGGTACCAACACCATCCGCTCCAGCAGCTCCTGCTGCTGTCACCTCATTACCACAGTTGCAAATACCCAAGCCAGCAATAAGCGAGGCGATCATATGCAAAACAGATCCACTAGTAGAGACCAAACCCGTGGTAAATATAAAGACCACATCACAACCTACTAAATTAAATACCGAATTTATGGAGAGTAAAGTTAATGAGAGAAAAATAAAAACAACAAACGAGTGCAGCACGCATGAAAGAAAGGAGAAAATTATCACGCATGCGAATGTGCACGAGAACAGTGAGCAGCTGAATAAAATAAAAATTGCACAGAAAATACACGAAGCCGCCGCTGCAGCAGCTGCCGCCGCAGCCAGCCTGGAGTTACAACGATCACAATTGCAAGCGTCAACGAAAAAGGCTCAGATGAACCAAGCAGCAATGGCAAATGCAAGCACTCTAAATACCAGCCGAAGCGAAGCTGGCACGTTTTTGAAAACTTCGAAGGACAAGCAAAAATCAATTATTGCGCATACAGATATCAAAATAAAAGAAGAAGATAAGCAAATGCAAGTGATAACAAGCAAGACCACAGATGCTGCGCTGCTATCTTTGCACGAGAAGAATCCGTACAATACAGCCGAACATCAGAAAATTCAAAATTCAATGGATTTAAACAAAATTGCTCCACATTTTCCGATAAATCAATTACCCAATTATCCGAATACGCCACAGTATTGGCAATGGGACTACTACGGTTACAATTTCCCTCCCCTCGATGCTGCAAGCCAGAAGAATCAAAATAAATTCGCAAAGGACTTGGCCACAACTATGGCATACTCACATAATTTTACACAGAATCTTTATCAGTCAGCTATACAGCATCACGCGCATCAGCATATGCAACAGCAGCAGCAACAACAACAACAACAACAGCAGCAGCAGCAGCAACACACAAAGGACAAATTGAAAAGCGATAGGAAGATGAGTGTGTGCAAGAAGGAGGAAACGACTAAGAGTAGCTCTAATGCGAACAGTCAAAGCTTTAGCAATCGCGAGGATGCACATAATTGTTCATTTCCTAATGCGCAATCGACTAGTTACGGCCAGAAATGCAATAACGTCCAATCGAAGTCTCATAAAATATCCACAGACCAAGCACAGCACATTAAATCATTAAATATCTTGCCCAATTCCAGTTCAAGATTTTACAATCCAATTATCCCCTCAGTGCCCATTCCGACTAATGCGCTAACACAACAGGCGTTATGCCAGAAAGCCAGATCGGAGCATACCCTGAGTGCGACTGAGGAGAATAAGGTAAAACTAAGCGGACATAATGCCGCAAGTCAACAGCAAACTACATCTCAAGATATAACATCGCCATTGGCATATAATTCGGGATCGTCGAATCATTCGGGGAGCAATTTGCATCACTACGATTGCGGCATGACAGTGCCAATGAATATGGATTCACCCTCGAGCATCGGTAGCGATATACAGCAAAATACGTCAGATAGCATTCCATCTACCACGCCGCATATACAGCAGCAACAGCAGCAGCAACAACAACAGCAGCAGCAGCAGCAGCAGCAACAGCAACAGCAATCACAATTTTCAGATTGTTCGATGCAGAGCCATTCGGGAAATACTCCGATGCACATGGCCATACAAACTTCTCACATCCAGCAACAACAACAACAAGCTAATCTCAATTTAAACATGCAGTCGAGCACCTCGCAGACAATGAACACGCTGACAAGCTCACAGCAACATGCACAACAAAGTCGAAAAGTCAATCAACAGGTATTGACCGAAGTGAGAACAAAAGCTTTTAAAAAGAGGACGAAAACCTCAAAACCGCCGCAACTTTGACTAAACTTTAAAAATTTTATGAAGAAATATTTTTCAGATTCGTGTTGCCCACTTTTTTTGAGTTTGAGGGAATAACCTAAATAAATAGTAAAGTTTGGAAGACTCGTAGCCCCAAAATAATTTCCATACAAATTTGGACTTAAAACAAAAGTTCTGAGATTTTCGAAGTTTTTTTATAATTGTTTTTTATATGTTTATGCAATCAGTTCCCTCGAGCTCGGGATACTGGAAAATTTTTACCTCAAAAATATTTAACAGAAATTATAGTTCAGTAAAAGTTTTGGAGGTTTCCTACTTAAGAGAACGCTCTATTAATTATTTTTATTTAAATGGCTTCCTTAATTACAGCAGTGATTTGTTAAAGACTTTAAAATATCGTGAAAAAATTGTAATAAGTATTTTTGGTTGCTAATTCACTGCTATACAGAAAAAAGGGAGAATCGGATACAAGCTGTTTTACCAAAAATATGCAAAATTAATGCCAGATCTCCACTTGAAATTAAATGACAAAAACAAAAAAAAAAAATGAACGACAGACTTGTCTGTTTCCGCGTTCCACGGTAGACAATTTTTCATAATTTTTGTCATTTCGTTGACTAGCGGATATTCGGCATAGGATTTTCAGTTATAAAGATGAAATAACTCGGTAAATTTTACACGGTTTGAATCGGAGATCCCAAATAATTCCTTTATTCAAACCTACTGGAGCTATTACATTAAAGAATTATCTGCCCGAAAATTATAACCAAAAATCTCAGTATTTCGATATAACCGGCACAATGGAAAATAAATTAAATGCGGCAGACACCAGAATAGTAGTTTCTTAAGTTTTATTATTATTTGTTGCTGACGGTTGTTTTGTATTGACTTGTATGGAAAAAAGCGCAAAAATCCGTCACCAAAAAAATTCTCAAAATTCAACGCGATTTTTTAGCCCTTTGAAACTTTCACTTCACTAAAATTGCCTAGGCTATAAAACTGCATACCTAAACATTTTCTAAAAATTCAGAATAAAAATTTGAAAATTTCATGAAAATTTGTTGAATTTTCCTTAATTTTATATAAAGTTTGAAACTGCGATTTACACGGTTTTGGTTAAAGCTTATACGATATTTTTATATAAAAATTTAGTTCGAAAAACATTACTAATATTTGAAGAAAATCAACACGTGGTCATTTGTTTGAGTCACTGTACGTAAGAAATGGCTATTCTAATCTGCCGCACTTGCGATTTTTATTTTATTGTGTAATTCATAAACGAGGCGCGGTTTTAAGTTTCTAACTCGACACTAGACTTCCTGTATTTCGTTTGACAATTGTTTGCTTTTGTTTTAATTAATTCCCATTATTTTCTTCTATTCTGTAGGCTGATATGGTAGCTAGCAGCTCAAATCAGCGCGCCACCACACCGAAAGCGATTCGTGGCACAAACTCATCTAGCAGCAATCAACAGCAGCATCGCCAGCCTAAAAGCACGCCATCTAGCAATTCATCAGTGAGTGTCTCTCAACAACAGCAACAGCAGCAACAACAACAACAGCAGCAACAACAGCAGCAGCAGCAACAACAAAGTGTTAACAACAATCAACAAAATCTGTTGCAAACACAACAGGAACATTTACATAATATGCAACAATATTCACAATTGAGTGGCCAGCATCATCATCAACAAAATATGCATATAGATTATATAACATCTATACCGCCCATAGGCCAAAATTATACTTCGAATGCCTCTAACTCATACGATATTGTCTCCATGCCAGCTGTTATACAACAGCGTATGGCGATAAGTAACACTTCGCATTCACTTTCTAGTCCACATCAGCGGACAATTGATCAGTCCTCTTCATCAGCTTGTGCTGTCAATAATTTCTATTTGCAAAACAATTTGGCTTCGAATGAGGCAAGTACAACGCGTGTGCCGGTGCCTGCCTCTTCGGCAACAACCAATTCGAACGGTGGCGTTATTCACATCAGTCCAGATGCCTCAGCTAGTTCTTCCAGCGGTGGCGCTGGCGATTCGCAATTGGCACAAGATAATGCCTCCGAATCGTCCTCAGCCAATGCCGGTAACACAACGACGCAGGTTGGTAACATATGCAGCTTATCAAAGTTACAACAATTGACCAATGGCTTAGATATACAACCATGTAACACCTCACCGGCTGGACAAGTGAATTTAACTCCGCCACCACATCATCCGGTATCACACAATTCCATGACACCACCACCTCATCTATTGGTAACTCAAAATCGTAGCTTGGGCACACCACCCAATATGTTGCAACCACAAATCAATCCACTACAGTATCATAAATATTATTCAAGCAACATGAATATAGCACCGATTGCTACAACGCAAAATGTGAATAGAAATACGCGAAATACGGCATCGGCGCCAGTACAACATATTGCTGTGTCGTCTGTGACGACCTCGTCGACAACCAGCCGCACAACGAATGTCCACATCAGTCCAAATTTAATGGCACCGTATGGAGCAATAAATAGCTATCGCATGACCACACCACAATCGGCGGCCACGCCCACTTATGCTGCTGGCGGCGATTATTCCAATTCGCAGATTCCAATGCAAATGGGTGTTATGAATATGCAATCGCAATATCAAGATGCCTGTGCCATTCAGAGAGCACAACAGAATTCGATGTATTCAACTTACCCTCCCCCATATTTATCGTTGAACGGGGCTATGAGAAGATAAAGTATTTAGTGTATAGAGAATGCTTAAAAGTTTATATTTATATATACATGCGTACATGCATACATACATACATACTATGTTTTTGATCACATAAATGTAAACACTATAATTGTATATTTCATAAAAATAAAGTAATTGGTTCAATTATATCCAATTCGCTGCTATGAATTATTAGTTTACGATGAAAGTGAAAGAATTAGGCAAAATGTAAATCGATCGATTAGCTTACAAACACAATAATAGATATAAACTTCGATCAACAACTCCATTAATTTGAATTTCTGTTGCTGTTGTTGTTGTTGTGGCGGCTTTCTTGGTTATTGTAGTTCTTGGTTAACATTGATCCGACTGTCGTAGAAGCGGGCTCATCATCGCAGTTTTTTACGGCATAAAATTTCCCAAAATAGTTTTGGGAAATATTGCTGAAGTAACAGTAGTTGGCCAGATATAAATCTGAGCCGTTGCAGTTACGAGGACCCGACTGTCATCGAACGACATCTTTTGACTCGTTCAGCCTGAGGTTGAGAGTATAACGCCACAAGGAGTTTTTCAGGTATTCAACAGGCCACAATGCCTTAAAAGCTTGTTGTGGAGTTCTACTCTAAGAATGTAGGCAACACTTATGGGGCAGACCAGACCTCTTCTATTTTCAGAGGCTTTCAGTTATAAGGCCATGCGCCTTGGTGTCATTTCGCACGGAGTTGTGCCAAGAACGTGTTTAGCGGTAGCTTTTCCTCAAATGTACAAGAGTCATTGAGTATGTTCGAGGACCTACGTGCAACTCTCCAGTCGGGAAGGTGCCAACTTGTGTTATTGCAGCAGCGAAACTACTAAAGCGGTCAGACTATTTATAGCACATTTCCAACAAAAGCAGTTAAGAGTTCAGGTAAGTTCCAAGAATTTTTACATGGGGTTATCTGAAAGGTTTATTTCTTACTTTTTGCTTTTTGACTTTCCGAGTTGTAATTTCCCTTTTTCAATAGGCATAAACTCCAGTTACGGCTTGGTGGAAATGAATTATAAACGGAGAGCCACGTTGAGTAGGCTTAAAGGGACAAGTGAGGAGCTGGTTGGTGTCGTGTGGGGTAACTTCACAAGAGGAGCATGTCGGAGTCGGCTTTGGATAGGTAGGTTAAGTCCGCTGAAGCTCTTCGTCTGCGATGAGTGGTGGTTGAACTCCAATCCCGGCACTTACGGGGCGGGATTTTATAAATGTGGTGTTTGCCTATCGGTGAACGCCGTTAACGGCCTGCCGGTACAACTTCGGGTACAATGAATGTTTCTGGAGTTTGTAGAAATGCCTTCCTGCAGTTGTGCGCGCGGAAAAGGAGAGCAAGCTGCCAAAGGCAACCCCTAAGATTTTCGAATTGTTAATCGTCGGTATTAGTTTACCGTCGACGTGCCGGACGAAAAAATCGCTCAATCAGCGTAGCTCTTAAGCAGTGGTGCTTAAAACAGCGCTCGCGGGCGGAATTCTTCAAAGTTCTCTGTAGATTTTATATGGACACGCACAGAGTAAAACCTCTCTCTGAGCATCACTGCTCTTAAGGCGGCTTCATCGGTCCAGTTCTGAACTAAAGTTGAAGTTGAGTTCACAACTCAAACGCGTTCAGCACTTTTCTCAGTTGCTCTCCCAGAGAGAGAAATGGCCTGTTCGAGGTACATAATAAAAGCGGCAATACTGCAGCACTGATGAAAACTTGCAATACTGTTGCAACTTCCCAACTGATACAACGTTGCTGGAAATTCACACCGAACGTGATATTTTAACAATTCGCGCAACAATGCGGTTGTGATGCATCTCGAACAAGCCCAAACACAACAAAAACCACTTGTAGGGAAAGTTCTGAACTAGAACGATGAATCCGCCTTTAGTACCTTAGAAAGCTTAGAGATGTATAAGTTAAATATTAAAGGGGAAAGGACCCCACCCTGTGACCCCTTGAAAAACTGTTGGTTTCTTCGTAAGTGACAATATCAAGACTCACCACACCACAAATTGGACGAGAAGTGCTTCTGCTACATAGCACAGTGGATAGGTAGATAAATAAAAGAGGTACGAGAATGCACTACAACCTTTCGGATATATGTATGTAAGTATGTATATTGTGCTCTCTACTCAACACAACACCTCGTATAATCCTACAATGCACAGTGAGTTTAAAAAAGCTTTTGGAAGTAGGGAGTGTATGTGCTTATCCTTTGGTTGCATTTAGCCTAGGCTGTTTCGTTGCATCGATACGGCATTTTGGCCTCTTTAAATGAGTTGCAAAAGCGACAGAGATCATTTGGCCAGAAACCTTACTTATGCAGATGTTCACTTAGCCTGCAGTTCCCCGTGAGTATGCCTGGGATAATCCTCAGTTTCTCTTAAGGGAGGGATATTAGATGCCTGTATTTCTTCAGGTGGTCTTCCTAATTAAGCCTGCGTCCTTAAGCCCTAATGAAGTCCTGTGGTACTTTGTCAGTGTTGTTCTTTGCTTCTCATTGTTCCTTTCCTGAGAACTTTCATGATCGTGTATGGGCCTACTGGGCAAGGAATGCGAAACCCCCCGGGGGCTTCGCGTAAGTGGAACTACGGGCTTGACAACCCCGGGGTACCCAGTCAAAGGCTACCAGTCCTGAGTCGAATCGGGGCTCAACTGGTAGAAGAGTCTTCGGCTCTCGGAAGTCTTACCAGAGACTTAAACCTGGTACTACAGGAAACAAATGCACTCGGAGTATCTTCGCAGGCAAGATTGGCAAAACTAGCTGGATGAGCAAAGCGCACAAGACAAGCACAATGTACGCCAGCAGGACTTGCAAAACGGAGAGAAAGAAGTTGAACGAAAGGAAGAAAATTTGGTGAAATGGTGTATAATGCTTCACATACAATACCAGGGCATAATAGACCTAAAGTCGCAGTGCACAGCCTCTAACAATCTATCTAATACAATACCGGCGAACGGCAAATTTCGCCAAATTGGGCGATGCTGTCGTTCACCGTTCGGTCACTGTGATGTTAAGTCATTTTCTTCCCATGAGATGTGAGCTTGCGGATCGAACGCTCTGAAGTCATATCGTCACCATTATGTCAGAAGCATGAATGTGCAAATTTATCAGTTTTGAGTTATTGAGTTGACTTGATTAACCGAGAATACCATGTCTACACGGAAACTACATATCCTCACCTGAAATGCAAAAAGACGTAACAACATCGTAACTGAAATGGAAAAAGTCGTGACAAATATTTTTTATTTTTTTTCATAAAATAACTGAATTTTGAAGTTTTTATTAGTTACGACTTTTTGTATTTCAGCGACGATGTTTGTTACGTCTTTTTGCATGCATGATATGTGCATACATACATACGTATATAGGTACAGTGACTCAAACAAGGGTTCACGTGTTGATTTTTTTGGGATATTCACAATATATTTCTAGTTAAAATTTTTTTGTTAGTATGTTATTTTTCTTATACTATATTTTATAAAAATATTCTTCATGATTTAACCGAAATCAATCCAACTTTCAAACTTTATGCAAAATTCAAAAGTTTCATAACAATTTCGAAAATTTCATAAAATTTTCGAAAGTTTTTGGGTATGCAGTTTTATAGCTCATGAAATTTTAGTATAATAAAGTAGAATTCGCATAATAGAGAACCAGTTTTTCTAATAGCGGTCGCCCCTCGACAGGTAATGACAAACCTCCGAGTATATTTCTGCCACGAAAGGCAGCATCTCACAAGAATACAATCGCACGCAAAAATCGGAGGAGAAGTTCGGCCAAACACTAACATATTGTGTAACCGCCAATCTATTATTATTANTTATGCACTGGCCGGGGGCGCTAGTCTCTATACTACCTTCCCCGAGTGTGGGACTCCCACCGAAGCGTGTTGGGCTACCCACTAAAACCCAAACTCCCACCGCCCGCGCAAGAATCCCGCATCTGGCACCGCAATTCTGCATGTCTTCAGATACAGGAGCGCGCTGCTAGAGCCTCGGGGCTGCTCTTTTGTAGGGGCGTTTCATTCGGTTGTCCTCAGTAGACATCCGTCCTCTTGTTTGCAGCGCAACTGCCGCCCACTTGTCTGCACTGGAGAACATTACCCCAATTATGTTGTTCGGAGTTATGTCTCCGTATCTTTCTTCCAACATTCTGCGCGAAATCAAGAAGTGTTCGCAGGTGAAGAATATCTGGTACACGTTATCTTCGACGTTTCCGCAGTAGTGACAGAACGGTGAGTCCACCCTTCCCATTCTATGAAGATATTCTCGGAAGTAACCATGACCGGTGAGGAATTGCGTCAGGTAGAAATCGACTTCCCCATGCGGTCTGTTGAACCATGTTTGAAGGTCGTCTATCAGGGTGCTGGATTAGTTGCTCGCGCGCCCTTGCCGCGGCAGTCGCTCGACCTATCTCGGCACTAAGATAGTAAATCTCTTTTCGCTCGTACCCAAGTAGCTCAATTGGTATGACGCCAGAAATAACTAGAACCGCGTCCGCGGACACTGTATGGTATGCAGAAGCAATGCGTAGTGCCCCTCTGCGCTGGACCGAAGCCATTTGAATCCGGTATTTTTTGACTTTCAATGCGTCGGCCCATATTTCTGCCCCGTACAGGAGCACCGACTGGACTGCTGTCATCAGAAGTTTCCTGCGGATGGCTTCGGGCTGCCTACGTTCGCAATCATGAGCCGGCTGAGAGCCACCGTGCTCTGTACAGCTTTTTCACAAACTCCATGGATGTGTTCCCAGAATGTGAGTTTGGTGTCAAGCTTCACCTAGAAGTTGTCACGAGTTGAGGTCCGACCATCATGTTTATAATTGTTGGGGTCCGTTTCCTGGTGAGGAGCACGATCTCTGTTTTGGCTGTAGCCAATTATTATTATTATTATTATCGCGTTGGATTTTTTTTTAATTTTATATTTTTGTTTTTCAAACAGTCTTGGGCATTTTCTTCCACAGACATTCATATATATACATATGGAAAAAATGCAAAAGCCCGTCAACCAAAAAATAGTATGTACTAAAAAATCGACACGAAATGTTAGCCGCTTGAAATTTGCTTGTGTTGTAGTTAATAGAATTGTATGCGCTATAAAACAGCAGACCCAAAAATTTCTAAAAATTCAGATTAAAAAGTTTAAAATTTTGATGAAAATGTTTTGATCTTTTTTAAACTTTGTTTTAGTAAAAACGTGAACAATATTTTTATAAAAAATACAATAAAATTTCACATGAAGGGCACTCCGAATGTTAAAAAAAAAATCAACATGTGATAGCTTCTTAGATCACTGTATGTACATATGAAAGCAATATACTTCCATAATATACATACAGAATTATTTAAAATTTTCAATTTTGTGGGAAAAAGCAATCAAAGCTTGAACAATTCATAGGGCTGGTTTCTCCAGCTCAACTTAACTTAGTTTAGCCATTTTTTGGACTTAAGTCAAAAGTTAGCCTACTTTTTATTCAGCTTATTCTTTACTAAGTCCAAAAAATTTGCTAAACTAAGTTAAGTTGAGCTGGAGAAACCAGCCCATACAGTTGGTATACCAAAAGACAGATGGGAAGCCGCATATATTCGCCATTTTTGGGAAGTTTAGTCATCTGGTGGGCAGCATAACATATTCTCCTCATCAAGCTTATTAATTGTATAATGAAATCTTCGAAAACATAAATTGTACATATGTACTCTTATGTACATACATATGTTTGTACGCCAACTAACGAAAAGCATTGTTTACCTGACATAATAAAATTTAAACATATTTTTAATAATACAAAAATGCACTTATTCGCCTTGCATTTAATGCGTTATTGCAGTTTACATACATATGAATGTATGCATGTATTTATATATGTGTACATATGTTTATGTGCTTATATAGAAATGAATATACTCTCGTGTAAATAAAACGAATTTTATCAATCTGTAAGGTTATCACTGCAATTGAGTCATTACAGAGCGTGAGCGAAAATACATTCGAAACAGTGGAGAATAGACTTCGGAGTGTATGGACCGTTTAAAGTGTGAAATGTTTTCGTTTAAATTGAAATAAAGAAAATTACGCATCCAAAAGGGGAGACGAATCTCAATATAAATTCTCTTATCAGTCTTTAACCTATCCAAAAATACATAAGTGTTACAAATTGTGAAAAAAAAGAAAGCATTCACTTCCACAACACATCTGGCGTTTCTCGTTGACGAGGCGTCCTTCGCATCATTAATGTTGCCTTCGTCGTCCAATGCACGTTGCAGTTCTGAGGAATCACTCATTAATTGGTCAAATCAAAATGCTGTGGCCCATCGTAGTAAAAGTGTACCACGAATGTATGGTTGTGTGGATACCTTAGCGACTGCATCATCACTTCCAAATAATCCAAACAGTACGAGGAACTTTAGTGCAAACCAAAATAGTCCACCGAGTATTGAATGTAATGTTGCGGTGACGAGAACGGGTAGTAGAGGAAGCGACGTCTACACAGCGCCGAATTTACGTCAACATTTAAGACAAAATAGTGACTACGATACTGGTAATAATCATAATAAGAATAACGGCAGCAGCAGCAACAACAACAACAACAATTACCATCATCAGCAACATCGTCATCATTTTAAACAGCATCACGGCTGTACAACGAGCCGTTATAGTTCTACTGGTGGTGGTGTTGGTGTTGGTGGTGGTGGGAGTAGCTCTGCAGCCCTTCTTCACTTATCAACAACGCGTCTCGATCCCTTCTCAGCACCAACAACAACAGTAGGCTCATCGCTGTTCGGTGATAGCATGACGGAGATTGCTGTGAGTATGAAGTGATCTATACATACTGTATGTACATATGTATGTACGTATTTTTTTTTAGAGATTTTGCGTGAAATGGAAATTTAATAACTGATAATAACTGATTCTGTGTCGGTGGCTCCAAAACTGTGTTATACTAAAATGCATACGTACAGTGACTCACAGTATGATTTTGTTTTACGATATTCAAAATGTTTTTGATGGTAAACTTTTTCGATAATTTTTTATATAAAAATATAGATTATTCTTCAACAAAAACCATGTAAATAAAAATTTCTAACTTTGGAGAAAATTAATAAAAATTCAGCAAATTTTCATCATATTTAACCAATTTTTTTACAAAAAAAAAATCGAGTATGCAGTTTTATAGATAGGTAATTAAATCATAGAATAACAGCAAAGTTTTGATTGGCTGAAAATCTCGGTTCATTTTTGAGAATTTTTTTTTGCTGACTAAAAAATTCGTTAAGTGGAAGGAAATGTTCAACGCCGCCAGCAAAAAAATTATTAAAAATCGACGGAACATATCTACCAGTCGCAATTTTAAATATTTTTAAACATTTGTATGAAGATTATATTAACCTATGGTATATAGGATTTACAATTAAGTGTTTTGGCTAAAATTCGTCTTTCTGTACATGAAGGTAAAAAGAGGGATTTTTTCAGTTCCCACCAGCAACATATATACGAATAATAGCACTGGATCACAAATTTTAATTTTGATTTGGTTCTCCAGACGCCACTATCCAATTTGTATGTAAAATCGCTCGCTGATTCCGAAAATCGAGCTAATTTTTTTTTGTATGGATACGTTTTCGAGATATTTGCAATTTACCGTTATTCAGCTTAAAAAAAAAATCGGGTATATTTTACGAACCAATTAAATAATCGCAATACGAGGTACGGCAAATGATAGAAAATAAAATTGTCCACAAACCGTATATAGGTTACTTCTCGATAGCTTCTATAGTTTCTGAGAAATTAATTAATCGTTCCTGATTTTAATTTTTTTTTTTTATGAAAAAATACAAAAAATTCAAACTTTAACAGGGAAAAAAGTCACAAAATAACGGTTTCTGTGTAAATAATTGGCACTTGTGTTAAAGCCTCTTCCTTTAGAAAAAACTAAGCTGCCAATGAATGAAATCGATATGTAAATACCAAAATAATGATTAGTCAAATGAAAATGCGCAAGGATTTTTTGTATGAAATATCAGCAGAAAAGAGTGTTACCCATACGCCACGCAAATCTGAGCAGGTAGAGTGTTTGCATCGAAAACAAGAGGTGTCGCAAATGATTAATTAATTTCTCAGAACATATCAGGGTTATGGAAAAGTGATATATGTATATACAGTTTATGGAGAATTTCAGTTGCTCTCATTTCCCGTATCTCGTATTACCATTTTTCAATTGGTTCGTAACATATACGTAATTAAGTGAAACCGCGATTTTTTGAAGCTAAGTAACGGTAAATTGCAATATATAATAGAAACTACATACATAAATGACAGTTTAAAAGATTGCACAAAGTTCACAAAAAATAATCAGACATCAAAAAATCTCATAAAATTTTTAAATTTTTTATTTAGAGTTTTTAGAAAAGTTTCAATTACGCTGTTTTGTAGCACATTAAATGTAATGCTGGATTTCCACTTGGCATTAAATGGCATAAATGACAAATGACAAAGTTGGGCATTAAAAAATATGGGTGTGATTACGTTAAAAAATTGTCATTATGTTCATTTCCCCATGGCATCTTTTAAATGGCATATATTTTTTGTCATTTCAATGCCTAGTGGAAATTCGGCATAAGTGTAATAAAGTGCAAGTTTCAAATCACTATAGATGACCGTTGATTTTTTAGATTTTTTTTGTCGAGAATGTTGCAAACATGCACTTTATTAGCCTAAAAACGAATGGGCTACAAAACTGCATACTCGAAATTTTTCTAAAAAATTCTGATGAAAAAGTTTAACATTTTTATGAAATTTTTTTGAAGTTTGGTAATTTTTTGTGGAATTTGTGCAAGGTTTGAAACTTTTATTTATGTTGTTTCTGTTATAGATTAAGTTATATCTTAAATGAAAATTAAAAAAAATAAAATAAACATAAGCTGGTAAAAATATCATTTTGATGCTAAATCTTTTACCATAGCTGTATACCTTGCTTCAGCTTTTAAGTTCTGTTTAAACCTTCCTCGAAAAGAATCTTGCCAATACTTTGTGAGTTTGTCGCCATACATAAATATGTAATTGTGGTAAAAAAAAGTTTCACAATCAATTGTAATCTTTTTTTCTCTCTATCATAGGTAGACGATCTAAGGAATACACATGAACCTACTTCCGAACTACTCGATTATTGTAAACGCAAAGTAAAATAAATCAAATACATATTGCCTTGCACTATTTGTCTAATCTTGTCTATTTGAATATCTTTATTGCAGTTTTTGCGTCCATTTATCATAGTATTGTCACTTGTCGGCGTGAATCCTATACCAACGGATACATCAAAGATACTCTGTTGCTTAAACTATGCACAAGCTTTGCTGGTTTTGTTAATCTTACTATTTGGATATTTTCTACAATATGTATGCTCATATCGGTAATGTTTTCTTTTCTTTTTTTTTAATAATTATCTATGACTCACTTTTTTCGAACTCTAGCGGCGATCGCGGTTTCATAGCACACGATCAGGATTTAATCACTGATCCAAATTCAAATGCCACATACACAGTGGGCCAATTGTTGTTTGGTCATATTTTTCCCAATGCACTTAATTTATCCAGCTTCATATCAGCTGTAATTGTTTTCAAAATTCTCGATCAAGAGCAATTACAGAACTTGATCGAGCGTGTATTTCTAACCACCTTAGTGCCGCGTCGCTTGTGCAAAATCCTATGGCTATATCTTTTGTGCGGAGTCGTTTTGTTGGCGCTGCTTTTCGCTTATACAATTCCTTCGGTGCTTTTGCAGTCGCGCATCATACAAGTCAAGTGGTTCACTGGTATATTAGCCGACTGGGAATTGGCTACGAAGGTGAGGGTTTATACTCTAGTTGCTCTTCGAGTTTTTTGTTTAGTAAAACTAATATTTTTTATTTTATCTTTAGATCGTGCTGATTGTGACGCTTTTTATTCAAGATTTAGTTGAAGTAATAATTCTTTCCAACTACTGCATACAGTGCTATTTGCTGCGTATACACATTTCTTCGCTGTCGCATAAGCTTTTGATGCATTCCATTGAAACTGTTGATTGGATGCGGGTAATTAGAGTTAATAAAATAGATAAAGCTTATATACAATACGCAATTTCATAAACTATATCCTTTTTTCTTTTATATTTCAAAGGAGGTGCTAGAATTTCACAAGCTATTAGAGCACCTCAATCGTCATGCCGCCGTACCCGTATGTTTCTTGACGATCATGAATTTGGCGTACGCATTCGCTGGCTTGATATACATTTTCAACGATCTAGATTTTCATTACTCTGCATTAGAAATTGTAATTTTAAACATTTTTAATGTACTACTCTGGCTTTTGCTTGGCGTCATACCGTTCGTGTTGGCTGCTTCGTTGACGCAGGCGTGCCAAAAGGCCCAGTCCAACGGTCATCATATCAGAGCTCGCCCGTTTGTGTATCACAGCACGTCCTCTGAGGATTTGAACTCAACTTTACTGTTTTCATCGTCTTTACAAATGTCTGCTAAAATTTTCAAAATGCCTATTCAACCAAACTATCTGTGTTGTGCTCTATTATCCATATCGATTCTAGTTTTAACTCTCGGCATGTGCCTCAATCCATCTGTCATTGGTATTTTTTAGAAAAATATTTTTCCAAAAAAAAAATTTGCAAATAAATCTACTAACGTACTTGTTGGAACATAGTCATAAATATATGCATTTACATGTTATATAACAAATAAATTATAACGGTATTATAATAATAATAATAATAGATTGGTGCTTACATATATTTTAGTGTTTGGCCGAACTTCTCCTCCGATTTATAAAGTGATTAAATATTTGTCTATTGCATGTGCTTATTATGTTATTAAAGAAAAAAACTTCAAAGATAAGTAAATAAAAAAATTAATTTCTTAAAGCATAAGAATCAAACGTGAACCGTAATAAGAGAAGTTCGAATTACATTTTCATACAATTTTTAAGGGTTCAGTAAGATTTCGTAACGGGTTACACCACCTTGAAAAAAGTATTTTTTTTTTTGGTTTGACAATTCTACATACTCTTAGAAGATTATAAGCGCCTCTCCATTCCGGAATTTACAGTATGTACTTTAGTAGTTACGGCTGTTAGAAGTGAGAGCAGTTGAATTTCTACTTTCTACTGTAGAAAGGCACCGAAAGGTGGTACATTTTTACACCCGAGCGCATATGTGCACAAGGGTATTATAACTTTGTTCACATAACGGTTGTTTGTAACAGACAAAAGGGATCAATAGGATTATATATATAGACATGAATATATCAAAAAATTCTCAGAAAATAGAACTCGATTAAACCGTGACTATGTGGCCGTCCGATCGTCCATCCGTCTGTCTGTGCACACGATAACTTGAGATAAAAATTAAGATATCTTAACGAAACTTGGCATGTGTATTTCTTTTGAGCTAAGGACTCACGGTATTGAAAATGGGACATTAACCGCGCCTACCTCCAATAAAACGGAAGATTGCAGAAATACATAAACTGGGATATGTATATCAGTATTTACTAAAGCTTATATACTTTAAATTGATATTTACAATAATCTCTTGGAAAAATACGAATATTAAATCTTTTTCGAAAAGCCCCGCCCACTTATACCTTATGTGTATATGTATCGCGGTAACCGTTCAACCATTTTCAACCAAACTTGGCACAGTTGCTGTCCTTGGTACATCATATTAAACGGACAACAGCCACGTCCACATCCCATATAACGGTAATTTAGAGAAGTAAAAAATCTGCAATAAATCAGTAACTTCTGGGCTAATTTATTCAAAACTGTTGTTTGGAATAATTCTTTAGCAAGAAATACCAATATAACAAATTTTGGAAAATGGGCGTGACACCACCAAATTCGGTATAATTACACCGGCATAAAAAAGAGATATGTGCATTTAAAACGGTATTCACATCGTATTATACCATCTTCAAACATACAAAAAAAAATAATAATAATAGGTTTGTTCGTCGAAAATCCAGCAAGAATTATCCAACACTCAAAATATCAGAGAGTAAGAAAAAATTCTCTCAAATTCTCTCTCATATTGAGAAACTTGCAAATTTCTGCACGAACGCAAATTTGCAGGAATTTGCAAGTTTCGCTGCCAGCTGGCGTCCACGGTTGCATTTCAAACATAAAAAATTTTTATAGAATTTTTAAAATTCTTTCGTATGGCCAAAAACAGGATATACATGTATATTTCTTGTTGTTCTGACTTTCTTTAACATACATTTCAATTTCTTCATCGTACTAGCTGTCGGGTTTCTTAAATCGACTCTGGTTGCAATTGCATTCCGATTGCGAATACCATTTTTTTCAGCCGAATTAAGTTCAAATCATTGGAATTAACTAAATTAATTATATCAACAATTATTTACTTCCTTTTTTCATAAAAAAATCGCTCGTGTTTATAAATTTTTAAATTTAACGAACTAATTTATTCAAATTATTGTAGACAAAAATGCAACCATGCGCCACAACCACATGTTTTTCGTGTTTGCAAATTCTTGCTGGCAAAATTTTTTCCAGCAAGAATTTGCAACTTCTCTCCAAGAGAACTGTCACTTTGCTCTCACAATTTTTGAGTGTTGGATAATTTTTTGGTCTGCACGAACGCGATTTGGGCAAAAATCGTGATAATTCGTACAAATTCGTACAAATTTTTTACTCGACGAACAAACCTAATAACACCGCTCTGTAACTGTCAAAATGTACAAATTTATACAAATGCACCAATCGTTTGATTTGGCTTTACCCCTACGTCTCCACCTTCTACTAAATTTGTCTTAACATCTGTTAAATTTCTGTTTAAACTTTGTCCCGTTTTCTCATGTGGGCAACTTGCTGTCTTAACATATCACTTTCAAAATGGCATCAAACCAATCAAATCGATCTGTACCCAATGGCGCGGTTAAATCAAAACTGAGTTTTCAAAATACGAAATGACAGCTGATGTTAAGACAGCGATGGTGAGCCACAGACGTGGTCATCCCAGCAAACAGCTGCTTGCAGATGAGCCCTCGCTAAGGCACGTCAGGAGGCATCTCTACGAACTTACGGAGGAAGTCCAGAGGTTCATTAAACAACCTCTGGACCCGTCAGCCTACCGACAGGCCCTGAGCGGCATTCACAGGGAATCAGTCTCGAGTTATGTAGACTCCCACCATGTGAATGCCGTTCTGGGCACACAACCACCGGACGTGGACGGGACAGAACTCTTTCTGCCTCGGGAGACCCGCATCACAATAGCCAACTTCGCTCTGACTATTGCAACAGGCTTAACTCATACCTGAGCAGAATTAATGAGGATGTGCCCAACCAATGTCCGGCCCCACCAATCTTACGCCCCTGTCCTTATGGACAGACCCTGTTGAAGTCGCACACTTCCTGGGCCTCCCCTTAGCTGAAACGGACGACAACGTTGACGGATGATCTGACCCGAGCGGGGCTTGGTAGCCGCTATAACAACAACAACAGCGATGGTAAGAAATTCGGCAAGACACATATGGTTTAACAGTGAAAATTTGCGGTCCCCACCTGACATTTCTATCTTAACACAGCTTTTTTAAAATAATCTCTAGAAGGTGAAGACGTGGAGTAACAATCATAACAATAACAATTGTTATTGTCAGTTTGTTAAAACAAAGTTTTTAAGGCATAATTTAAGGCGCGATAGTTTTGTCATTGGCGTGGGAACAGGGCCAATAACCTTGTAGGGAATCCATTAAAATGCAGAGTTATATTCATAAAAAATATACCAAAGTAAACAAACTTTAGCCACCACTGTCTTCGGCGCTCATCCGACAATTTATAATGGAAGTTCTTTTACATATAAAACACCCGGTAACACAGTTCAGTAATGCCAATCATAATAACAAATAATGTATTCGTAACAAAAGTTTATCCCAGAAAATTCCTTCACTTTCATTATAAAAACATAGTGTTATTTATTTATATCATGATAGCAAAAATTCCATAGGATGACTTAAACATTTAATAGCTCGATCAATTTATTTCTCAACAAAGAACAAAGGCATCTTGTGGCACACATTTTTTACCCCAAAAAGCGCAAAATAATGCACCCGCAGCACTGGCTGTTAATTTTTGCTGTTGTTTGTTTGTTTCTATACGATTTTTCTCGCATAGCTGGTTTGGACCACAGTATAGACAGTAAACAACCTTTTTGGGTTTTTGTTNCACCTCATAGTTAACAAAAATTTACAATCCGTAGTACTTTTCTATCAATTCGCAAATGCCGTTTGCACAAAAAAGGTTATGAAATGCGTTTTATTTAAATCGTTTAGAAAATGAGTCATTTATGTATACCATTTTATATGGAATTATTCAATAAATTTCGTTTTACACTATACCTTTTTGAAACATTTGGAGTAATTATTTTTTGTTTCTTAAAAGCAACCCTGCGTGCTTGGAAGGCGTGTGTACCAATAATTTCATCCCTAGCATATTCATCCCCGAGGAAGGCAGTCGCCAAATTCACCGAAGGTTGTTTACTGGTTATATTGTGGTTTGGACTAAAAATCTGTCGCTGCAAGAGAACAGCTGAAAACTAAGATGTGTGGAAGTATTTAATTAAATAAGAAATAAGTGTAGTTAAGTAAAGTGCGGTGTTAAGAAAAAATGAAGATAATATAGTTTAATTATAAGAAGGCTGAAAATTGCTGCAACTGTGGCCAATAGTTTGTAAGAATTCGAGGATTTGACTGGATTGCGTTGGTGGGTGAATAAGTTCTGGCAGTCGTCAGTTAACAAAGGTAAATATACGTTACAATAAGGGCAACTCATTGTTTTTTAAGAAATATTGGCGAAAGAAATGTTCACCTTGATTGGCTAGCGATGTGTCCAAAAACATAAGACTAGAAAAAAAAGCAGGAAAAATCGTTAAACATATTGGGAGGATGCAAGGTTGCAAGGATTTCACACTACGCTAAGTTGATGAAATTAAGCAAACCAAGGTTACTTATTAGAAAGATATAAGAAATACATATGTACATACTGCGTATGTGAATTATTAATTCAGGCATAACAAAGTAAAAATAAAAAATGGATTGGGTTTAGCGGTCTGGATGCCGTTAGCAAGATTTTTGTGCATAATGCACTTTTGTATGCATGTATGTATGTATTGAAGTTGATTTACGGGATAATATCGTCTTTGCCTAGTACATATGTACATACACACATTCATACATATCGTATTGAAATGGCCTGCATCTTATATAGCAGATATTTAAGCTAATTTATTCTTGTATATTTCACTTGTTTACAAATTAGGCAGACGAACATACTCATTTAATGTGAACGTGCATAACTTCAGTGTCTACTTTACACGAGTGGGGGCAGCGCATCTAGTGGAAGACTGAAGGACGACGGAACACAACGATAGGTGCTAATAAAAGTGTGAAATTATAGAAAGAAACGTCGCCATCATGATCAGTGCACTGCTCTCGCGGCTCATCATGTAAGTAGCATTTTCCAATGTCAATTCGCCCACAACAACACCCAAAAAATTTGTGCTAGTAATTAGAAATCTAAAATAAAATTGCCCACTTAAACTGGAGTCATCATTAGCATTCTGCCACTACTTCCGGTTTTTTGCATGACTGTCATAGACGCGACGCCTGCATTGCTTTGCTATTGCTATGGCGCCGTTGTTAACAGCTTTATTGCTTCTTATAAACAAAGCAAGCAAAAAACAGAATCTACAATACAGTTATTGGGCCTCGTTAATAACACTTTTGTCGCTTTTTACTTTAAGTAATTGTTGGCGACACGTCATTACCTGTTTTCCTTTCAACCTAAGCATATTTAGAAATACCACTTTTCAGGTAACTGAACTGCAACAATTTCGTTATCCAAAAAAGTCCGAGTAGTTCGCTTCATTTACTCTAACTCATGCGTGAATAGGCGTCTACAAGTACATACTCTGAACACAAGTGTGCATATGTACCATTAACAATTCACAAGTATATGGATATGTACATATGTATATATGAAAGTATATTAACTGAGTGTACGATCGTGTGTGCAACATATCCCGCAAAATGTGCGTCCATTAATAAATTTAGCTGTGGCTTTTAAACTTTTAAGGCATGGAGCGGATTAATATTATCATGTATGTTGCTGAGACTAACAAGAATACAAAGCCACAGCTTTTAATTTGATGCCTTTTTAAACAAATCTTCGGTCTGCGAACGCTTTTGAAATTGTATGTACATACATACTTATGTATATGTTTATAGATCTGTTTCCGAGTCCTTCTCTCTAAAGCACGAACATTGCGTACACGCATAAAAAACCATCTCGACATGCCAGATACAACTGCCAATGTTTTTCTAGTGCAACTGTTGCCTGTTTTTCACTCTTGTTGAGCATATTTTTAGTGCCCGCGATAGAGACCGCTTCTACAATTCGAAATCATGTACGTTTCGAAATTCTGCTCGAAATTTATATGCTATTTTTAAATATGAGCGTCTGCTGCTACTACAAAACTCGTTCAGAATTTGGTATTGTGCAAATTCGTATTGAGCATAATAAAGTGCTTTAGTCAAAATTATATTTTGTGCCTGTTCAGTAGGCAAATTTTAATCGGCATTCATATTAGTTTGTCTACCAATTTACTGGAGTTTTAAAACGCTACTACGTACATACACACATACATATGCATAAAATAAAACCGCAAATCGACCGCAATTCAAGCGGCTAATAAAGCGTATAGAAAATGCGGCGGAGTGATTGGAAGAATCAAGCTGGAGGAGAGTGGTCATCGATGCGGGAGGTGCCATACCAGCAGCAAAAGTTCTTTCAAAAAAAACCAAATCGCTTACAATATGGCCCATATCAGGAAAGTCCACCATTATATGGGCGTTGGAATGCAGCAGCTCAAGATTCTGAGTACGCCACGCCTATATTCGCAGCGGATGGTAGCGGATATTATCGTCGCTATTCAGTGGATGCATCACCCGAATCGATTATTTATTATAATAGCAAAATATCAGGAACATTTATTGGCCAACCACTTGACAACGATGAGTGTTGTCCCCCATCTATCGCTGGCTCGAATATATTGCTATATCCCCATTCATTGAATAGCGCTGATGAGCGATCACCGGACAACGTCCGCGGCGCTGCGTTCTATTTTAAACAAAAGAGCACACAATCTGCAGCGTCAGCAGCTGATGCAAATATTATAAATACAGAGCAGGTTGTACACAATTTGACTTTGTTCGGACGTTTTTTGGAAGTAGTGCAGAGTTGGCCGTTGCCCCATGTTTCATTTACAACGGCTTGTATTTTAGTGTTACTGGCCACTTTTATTTCACCACGTTTGTGGGCTGAAAATGTTATATTTCCTGCTTTCAGATTATCCTTTGGTACTCTATATCCGGCATATGCTTCGTACAAGGCTGTGCGCACCAAAAATGTCAAAGAATATGTGAGTAAAAAAATGTGAAAGAGACTATGTAGATTAACATACATATATGAGTGATTTTATTTATTTATTCATTTCAGGTAAAATGGATGATGTATTGGATTGTTTATGCTTTCTTTACATGCATCGAAACATTTACGGATATTTTTCTTTCATGGTTTCCCTTTTACTATGAAGTGAAAGTGATTATTGTTTTGTGGCTTTTGTCGCCAGCTACAAAGGGTAGTTCTACATTGTACAGAAAGTTCGTACACCCGATGTTGACGCGCAGAGAACAGGTATGAAATGCGCTGATAAAGATGAGCGCTCTTTATCTCTTTTAGCAAACACAAGTACATATGGCAATTTTTTCGCGCACTTTTTCCGTACAAAGAATGTTCCGACATTTTTTTTTATGAAAAAGTGGGAAAAAGCAACGATAATTTACAAGGCGAACTTAGCACAGTGCGTCGGCAACTGGCTGAGTCAGTGGGATCGTCGGTTCGAATCTTACTGAAAGAAGTTGATGAGGAAATGTGGTGATTTCCGAAATAGCTATCACTTCTACCATTTTTTCAAATTATTGTTGCTTTTCCACGATAAGTTTTTCATTAAAAACGTCCCCAAGCTCAATAAAAATTGTTGAATAGAAAAAACTGACAGTGGAAAAAAATTTATAAAAAATCAATGGAACTTTTTATTATAGCAATTCAAACTTGCACTTTATTATACTAAAATATAATGGGCTATAAAACTGTTTAGATGCAATTTGGAGAATTTTTAAAATTTTTTTTACAAAGTTTGAAATATGAATTTATATGGTTTTTGTTAGATATTGAGATATATTTTTATAGATTTGTTTAATGTGTTATATTAATTTTTCCACCGCTGTATATATCACTGACTAGCACTGCTTTCAACCATTAAAAAATTCGGGAAACTGTAAAAATTTTAGAGGTTTCGACTTTTCCAGTTTTTCTTATCAAAGAAATTTTAAATGTTTTATTTTAATTCTTCCCTCCCATTTATTTTAAGGAAATCGATGAGTACCTTAACCAAGCCAAAGAGCGTGGCTACTCAGCAGTACTACAATTGGGCACCAAAGGCGTCAATTATGCCACCAATGTTATCATGCAAACTGCGCTTAAGGTAAATGTTTTTCAACGCTGCAACTATTAAATTATCAGTTTTCTAGCGATCAGAAATCATTATGTAAACAATACTAAATCGCCACATTATGTACACCGTCTGCAACAAATACTCTATTTAATCTTATTCAGCACACATCATTGCGTAGCGCACTAAAACCTATAGTATAAAATAAAAATTATTCGTTATAAGCCGCCTATTATTTGCTACCACGGATGCAGTTGGTCGACTGAGGAGCATTTGCGCAACGACATAACTTGAAGCAATCAATCTGTATACACTTTATTAGCTTTTAATTTACATTTATTTAAATTTAGATTTAAAAATGTTCATTTATGCGTTTGACACTACTGCTCGCATTACTTGATCATCTGCATCTCAACTAGCCAATCTATGTATGGATATAGTTTATTAATTTCGTAAATCTGTTTCATTTGTGGTTTATTTCATTGAAATTTTTGTATACTTTATCAAATAAATGCATTATTCTCATCCTAAGTGTCGTTTGATTTTTTATCGCAAATGCAACAGAACTACATTTTCCATTTCAATTTCGTTAGCAATTAATTTAATTATTTCAAATTAAGCTATTGGCCTAAAATATATTTAGGGCCGTTTTCTCAAGTAACCTGAAACTTTAAAGCTCACTTACAATCAATAAACATACATACATACGCCAAAAACCGATAATAGAAATGCTTAACATTAGACATAGCTTTATTTTTAATCCTTACTTTAAGTATCAAATGAGCTTTGAAGTTAAAAGTTACATCAGAAAAGGGCCCTTAAAGCTCTGTTTTTAAAAGAAGCTCTGCCTTTTTAATTTATTTTAATTTGAATAATATTTGTTTTTCTTTTCCTTTGGTTCCTATATAACGCTGCACGCATCATCTAACACAATCTAACACAACACCCCCACACACAAACACACGCATACATCCTCTGCGACACAATTCGCACGTTGCCACTTGCTGCTGCCGATGCTTGCATGCGTCCATTCACGTACACCGTTAACAGACAGTGCAATTCGGCATGGACACGATCGGCAACGGCAATCAACGTCCAACACAATTGAGCTCCTCCCAGTCGGACAATGAAATACACAGGTACCGTAGTTCGCAAGTCGGACGAGATGACCCAGATTGTATTGTTGATGCCAATTGGATGCAACGTTCCGCCTCATTAGGTCATTTAAATGCCGCACAATTGGAATTTTCGGAAGACGATGAACAATTAGAGTTAATGCCGATCGCAGCTATGGTCCGGCATGAACAGCAGATGCTAATCGAAAAAGAGCTAATAGAATGGAATGAGATGGAAACCGAAAAGGGTGCAGCACGTTCACGTGAACTGCCCGCACGCAAGACCAGAGCACGAAAAGCAACAGCACGCGAGACAAAGCAAAGTAAATCGAATACAAAATCCATGGGAGGAGGGGGTATACGTGGACGTCGCAGATTGCGCGATAACACACCAGATATAGATTTGGACATCGAATAGTTGGCGGAAATAAGATGTAGAAAATGTGAAAGACGATTGGCTCAATAGATGTTAAAAATTAATGTATGTTTATGTATATGATCTCTAAGCAGACGATAGCAACGTTTGTCAGCCAGCAACAACCTCGAATCGCCACAATTGAAAATAATGATTAAAATAATAGTAATGCTAATTAATCATACTGCTTGTATTAGTGTTACAACACTTTTAGTTTGTACTTTTATAATTAATTTTTAATATATGCTACTTTTTTGTATTCAATTTTGATATTAATCCTTGTATTATTTTAAAAACCCTCAAATTATTTATCGTCACATCACAAAAGATCATCTTTGTCATTAACAATATTTAAATTCATACAAAGACTACAAAGATACATAGTTAAATACATATTTGTCTGCTAAATTTTCTTTGTTGTGCGCATACATATTTACATGCATATGCATACACAATAGGGTGGTGGGAATCTTGTGCAAACCATACGACGCAGCTACAGTTTAAGTGATCTCTCCGAACCAGATGTACATCGCACACAGGACGAGGTAAGTTCAACGAGACAAAGAAAAGAAAAAAGTTTCATATGAAATGAAATGAAATGAAATGTATAACAAATACACCCTTGCCAGCAAGCCATTGTTATTAATTATTTCTTCTTCTTCTTGCATATATGCATATATGTACTTAAAAATATACCTACATGCATACAGATTGACGATGTGGTGCAAATGCGTCCACAGCAACGTATGCTGCGACCCCGCACACAAGCTGGCATTGCGCGTTCAGCGTCTGGTACGCGCCATTCGACCGGCATGTATTTCTCTGAGGTGGATGTTGCTAAGGGTGCGGATGGTTTTAAGTAAGTTCATACTTTGTGACGCATATTTATCTCTATGAACACAATTGCGTCTAATGGTGATGTATGTATGCTTGTCCACCTTTTTTATGTTGTAGCTACAATATAAGATCATCGGAAGACATTAGTTCGGGTTATTCCAGCGCGGAGCCGGTATCTGCTGCTTTGAGTAGAACATCTTCGATGACAAATGCTACAAAAACACGCTTGAAAGCCAGACGTACTGAGGTAATATTTATGCTTTATTGCTAGTACTGTGTATGTAGCGAAACTAATAAGTAGCTAGTAGTCGATGGGTGTGTAGTTAAGTTCAATGTACTTTTGCTAATTAGAAAACCAAAAGGCGTGGCTCATTATGAAAGAAGTCGAGATCAATACAAATGTCACACACAGTCCATTAATTTCCAATGAGGCAGCAAATATGAGGAAGTTCTAATCAAAACATGATAATTCCACTTTGGGTAATATTTTTAATTTTTATTTCAAATATCTTCAAGATGAGCTACATCTGCAAAACTATCTCGTTCGGTGAGAAGTAATGAACTTTGGTTTCATCAGATAAAATAAAACATTTGACTACGCCGGTGTCTTTTCTAACATAAGCTAACGAATTTTGAAAAAAAACTACCTCTATTTCTCTAAATTGTTAAAATCAATTCAAGCAGTAGTATCCGATCTACTTGACAGTTCGCATGGATAAAAACGTCAATGGCCAAGAATATGTGGTCACAGTGTTCTAGCGTCGACACTCTCTGGACAGATCGACTACATGATGATCCCGAACCTGTAGTGTCAAGCCACTATTGACTCAATAGTATTGAGCAGATTACTGCTGTCGTAGGGGATGAATCTGGTAGTTTAATAAGTCCAAAAATAGGCTTTCGTCATAAAAAGCGCAGCAAAACTATTCAGCAGTAACCATATATACATACACGTAGACGAGTGGATCTCGATACTAAAAGTTATGATGCGATAAAGGCAGTATTATTATTAGAGGTGTGATACGAGTGCAGAGTAGTCATGGCTGAATTATATGTACATACATTGATACGGTATTGCATTTGTACTAGGTTTCGGGGCACACAAGCATTACTGGAATTGCCAAGGAGAGCGTTCTTTCGCAAATCGTGTCAATAGAAGCTTTTCAAAAGTCTCGACAAGCGATTAAGCGGAATCATGACCTTTATACTAAAACACATACCCGGCTGCAAGGTTTCTTTTTTAATTTCTTAAGAGGGAGAACACTAGGCATCTAGTTGGTCTACTAGCAGGACACTGTTTGTTGATTTCACAAGCCTTTAAGTTATCTCCGAAAAATGGTAAAATTTACAGGCTATTCGGAATGAATGAGGAGATTGGAACATAGCCGATTTGAGTTTGCAGCTCTTAGGAGGCGGTGGATTGGTCTCCTTGCTGTAGGTTTTCTATCGAAAATAGAGGCGGGTTCCAAAATAGAGTATAACAAGTTGTTGCATTTAGTGTAACGAGCTGTGGTTTACTTTGCATTGCTTCTGGTTCCAGGAAATTATTTGGTAGGAGGTTTTCCGGCAACGGTACGGAACGCAGTGTAGTTTGTGAACACACGTTGTGGCGAGGCAGTCTTAACTTAAATGATGAGATGAAGCGAGCCTTTAAATTCGCAGCTTGTTCAAAATTAGGTAGTATTGTTAATAGATTGGTAATTGACAGGAGTGGCGCAGAGAGCATTTAAAGTTTCAACAAGGGAGATGCAAAAAGTCACTGATTTAATACCCTCGTACCTCACACAAATAGTAACTTTGCGCCAAAATATCGGTAATACTTAGACCTTAATTCTCAATCATTATAAATTATAATTAATAACACACAAGAATTTTTAAACCAAATATTGAGCAGAAAAAGCTTTATACAGGGTGTCCTAGACCACCCCTCCACCCCCCCTCTAAAATGGAGGGATTTTTTTTTTTTTTGAATGACGCAAAAATGTTACCTACCAAATCGTGGATGCTCTATCATTTGGTGGTATTACCGACTTCAGCTTTCAACCAGAAGTAGGTTAAACTGACCGGAAGTCCATTTTTTAAACTAGACATACATGTTTTTACTACAGATTCGGATTCTGAAGATAAAAATACGTATGTTTTGTTTGAAACCTTTTCTCGGAAGTGCCTTTTTAACCGCTAGATTACCTTCGAACTTCAAATTAGTGAAAATGTTGTTATTGGGAAAACGAAAAAATATGAATTACCAAGTCGAGGATGCTCTATGTTTTGGTCGTATTACAGACTTCCGGTTTCAAGCGGAAGTGGGTTTAATAGACGGGAAGTGTATTATTTTATCCGGGAAGCATTTCCGACAAAAGATATGTATTTTTGTCCGCAGAATCCGATGCCCTATGTAATAAAATTTACTTTCGGTCAGTTTGACCCACGACCAAAAAGTAGAGCATCCCCGATTAATATTTTTCGTTTTTCAATAAGCACATTTTCGTCCATTTCAGAAGTCCAGGACAGGTTGAAGTTCGAAGGTCATTTAGAGGTTGTAAAAGGCACTGCCGAGAAAAAAAATTTAAACAAAACTTACGTATGTATTTGTATTCCCAGAAATCGAATCTGTGGTAAAAATTTTAATATATCAAAAATGGACGTCGGTAATGCCACCAATAGATAGAGCATCCCCGATTTGGTGGGTCATATTTTTGCGTTATTTAATAAAAAACATTCCTCCATTTTAGAGGGGGTGGACGAGTGCTCTAGGACACCCTCTATATATTCTGAAGGGATTGAAAAATATTGAAACTATCCTAGTCCCGAAGTCTCAAGTAAGAGTGTTGATTTTTAATTTCATGATATTTAATTTGCATTTGCACGCTTGAATTGTTTTGCGATGCATATTTTTTATGAATTAAGTTTTACTAATTTTAATTTTATTATCACTTATTTTCGAATCATTCTTTATTTAAACCCCATCCTGTATAGAATTTAAATGAACCCAAACAGTACAGGCAATTAGAGCAAAATTTCTTTGCGCAGAGTCCATTACTTGCGCCAGGTGGTGGGTTCGGTTCTTTAGAAAATGAATTTCTGTTGGAAAGTTCTGAAAACTTACAGAACCCTACACTATTCGATGTACAGCAGTGCATACATATTTTAGAAAACACGTCACACGTAGCATTTCAAGACAAAGTTGATGAAGATTTCGCTGAAACAAAACGGCCGAATGAAAAAATGCTACCGATCGAGGAAAACAATGATATGGAAAGTAGTCGTATATTGAAAAATGTAGATAATTTAAAGGATTTCGGAGGAGGCATACAATCCGCAGAACAACCGCCGTACAGCGACCACCTAGAGCAGCAGCAGGATAAGGAAGAAGAAGCCACGATTTCAACTAACGAACCGGCTGCAGCAATCCATGAAGTACCTTTACCGGACGAAATAAGTTTCAAGGATAACAATTCTATTTGTAGCAATACTGATACCTATAACACACTTGAAAGCAGCGATGAGGACAATGAAAGCGATTGGTTTTCAGACGCATTACCATCATTAGCCGAGGATGAAACTTTTGAAGATTTAGAGGAACAGCAGTTGGAGAAGCAGCAAGAAGAAAATATAACTGTGCAAGAGGAACACACCACCGCGTGTATGCAAGAAAAAACTCCAATTGACCCCATTGAAACCCAGTTAACTGATACAGACGCCTCAACACCCATACAACTAGACAGTAATAAATCTGAGAAGCCGAAAGTTAGCGCTAAGGAGCTTCAAGACACTTTAAAGGAAATAAAAGACAATTTTCGCGCTACTATTGCAACAACGACAGCGCCAACAATAACACCTGGTACCAGTAGTAGTAGGAGCAGTAATAAACTATTAACTATACGCCCTTTAACGCACAACAAAGGCAAAGCACCAGCACCGCCGGTACCACCACGTCCCACACGTCCAGCAACAATCAGTGGCAAAGCCATCAGCAACATTGCATCATTAAGCAATACCTTAGATAGCACCAGCATATCGTCGCGCAGTTCTTCACCAGTGCCACAGAGGAGTATCTTTAGAAATTTAAAAACAAATCTTTTTCGTTTCACCAGCAACAGTAGTTTGAGCGACAAACAAGGCGACGGGAATGTTGAAAAGCCTACACGCGATACACCGCCATACGAAACACAAATATAGTTCAACTGCTATGAGAGCAATTCGAAATTTGTATAAAATTGTAGTAAATACAACGAATTTCTCTTTGGAAATGTAAGAAGAAAAAAAAAAGAAAATGTTTGTTGTAATGTTCGTTGGAATCCGTAATGTGCAGCTGTTCTACAGTTTACCATTTCCGCTTTGTATGGCTTCTTGTTGCACCTGATTTCAGTTGGGCTAAAAGTTTGCCTGCTTTACTGGGCTTTCGTTGCATAAATATTTGTAAATGCATACTATTTTTTACTCATGGCATTTTGTACATACATACCCATATACCTGGCACATTCATAAATGCTATGCTGTACTTATTACTGTGGATGTGTGAGCGCATTCTGCATACTCTAATAGACGTTTGCTTACAGGAAAGTAAATTAGTATATCGCAATCTGGAATACCCTTTCGTTTATTTAAGTTCACACATGCATTTCTAAGTACACATAATAAACCTGCATATCTACTTGTTCTTGTTCTACTGGCTTAACTAACCGAAATGTTCCAGCGCCTTATAGAGTCAGTTTTAGCCAATTTGCGCATACCAACTGTATAGACTTAGTAGCCCCCACTTAAGTATTCCTACTACTGAGCATGCAAATGCATATTGTTGCGCCGCCTTCGGCTCATATCTTATACGTATTTACAATTATTTTAATAATGCGTTAATCAAATTATTTTGCTTCATTTATTGCAGGTCATTTCGGCTAGCTACACTACGCTTCCACGCACTAAAAAGTCTGAGAAAGTAAATGTAGCCACGTCCAAAACGCGTAGTAAGTTGGATAAGTAGGCGAAAAAGGCGGCCAATTCGAAAGCAATGCAACCAAATTTCAAATACTCATCGAATAGCAAAAGAAAAAAGGAGCAACGGTTTAGTTAATGACCCGCTTAAAGGTAGCAGCCAAACTCTACTCGAAGGAAAAGTGAATGGCTTTAAAAATTACCAGATGTTTGTTAGCCACATCATTATTTAACTGTGTGCTCTGGGAAGATTTATTGATCTAATAGTGGTCGATATTTTTTTTTATATAACGTATAAGTATTATGACTGTTACTCAAAGCTCCACCCCTACCTATCGCCCGAAGCGTTACTATTTAAAATATCAAAGATGTAAATGTGACTGTAAAAAGAATGCAGAGAAGGATGTTACTCTTCAATCTAGTTTTTTTTTTTCATTGTATGCTGTGAAGGCGGATCTCTGTACGTGGCCAATGTGATAAGGCTTATGTGGATTCTATCAGTTATGAATTCCACCATCAGCAGGTTCTTTTTTTGTTACTAAAATTTTTGTAATAATAAAAACTGCATCGATTATATTTAATTGCAATTATTTAGGTGCATTTTGAAAAATATAATTTGCCACAAAGCACCGCAGAAATAACACAAACAATAATACATAATTGGTTCGATTTTTTGGTCTTAGCGCAAATACTGGAGGAACTACAAAATTGTAAACAGAGGTGCTCAACTATTAGTTTGAATTATGTTAAATGAATTAATTACTTACGTACGTACATACATACATACAAACCTTAGTTATTGTAATGTCAACTCATTAGTTAAGCGTATTTTATACATATTACAATTTTTGTTTCTATTTCCCCGCCTGAATATGAATACAACTAGTATATTCAAATATTCGAACACGTTTGTATACATACCTATATACATAAATGCAATATATAATGAAAATAGTTACTAACTTATTAAATCGATAAATAAATTCATATATTGAGTTTCCTTTTGTGTTTATGTAAATTAAAAGGTTGTTTAAATTATTGCCATTAAAAAATTTAGATCGTGCCTTGAGAAGCCTTCTCATGGGAGAAATATAATACACTCAAGCATGGGCGTAGCCAGGTAGGGGCAGGGGGGTGCTCGAGCCCCCTAACTTTCAAATTTTCCATATATATATATAAAATAGTACCCTGAAATGCCAGCTTAATAATAATTTTTTTTTGTTAGTTTTGTTCTAGTTCAGAGTTTTTCTTCTATGTAGTTGTTGTTGTGTTTCTCGAGTAGTGCGAAAGCAAGTGAGAAAAATTCTAAACTCTTTTGAGTTAACTCAACTTTCATGATTCAAAAATAAAAGGTTTGATAACCTGGCAGTTGCTCGCTCGCACGGCTCCCTTAGTACCGGAACCGTGTTGATTTTTTTTTGCAAAGTGGCGTAAAAAATAGTAGCTTACGTGTAAAGCAGTGTTATAGGTTCTTGTACAATATCACCATTCGTCTACCTCCTTTTAAAATTGAGGAAATGTTGTTTCTGCCTTAACCTCGTATCTGCAATAGAGGTATTTTAGGGAGTGTAAGAAAAAATGCTTAATTTCTTCCGCTAGGATACAATAAACGCATTTTTTACTTAATATTTCTGGTTCCACTAACAAAAGTGAGAACCCTAGTTAAGTCTTTGTTCTATTTTCAAATAGTGTGACGCTTAAACAGCTGTTTTAAGTGGTAATATTAGTTTTCCCAAAAATTGTAGATACGTGGTTAAGGCAGAAACGGGACGATATGTATGTACATATATGCTTTTACCACAGATTCGCATCCTTATAAAAATACGTAACTTTTGTTTGAAGCTTTTTATCGGACCTAAATGACCTTCGAACTTCAAATCGTACTGGACTTCTAAAATAGACGAATATGTTTTTATTGGAAAGCGGAAAAATTTGAATAACCAAGTCAGGGATGCTCTATCTTTTGCCGCTATTACGAATTTCCGATTTCGACCGGAAGTACGTTAACCGAGCCTGAGGTCCATTCCTTCTTGAAATTTCTAGCTACAAATTAAATGTCATTAATGTTGGCAACGCCGAAAGTTATCATTTTGACGGCACGAAGAGTTCAGGGGATATACTCTATATAGCGATTCGAAAGGCGACTCGGACTAATACAAATTCATAGTGCCAAGTATTCGAATCCGAATGGCCGCTCGACCCTATTAAGCTGGCATTTCAGGAAAATTTGAAAGTTAGGGGGGCTCGAGCACCCCCTGCCCCTACCTGGCTACGCCCATGCTCACGCTCAAAATAATACAGTATATCGAGGCCTTATATTCAATACCCTTTCACAAAAACTACTTTAAGATGTTAGAACCCATCTGGGGCTTACCTGTTATCAGTGATATTAATTCTTCCAATTTAATAGTAAATTCTTCTATCAAGCATTATACAAGGTCAGCATTAATATAACCGATGACAGTTAACTCTTAGGTGAATTTTTATATCAGAATCTCATTTTGGTGAAAAGTGCTGATAGAGGGTATTGAATATAAGCCCTCGATATTTTTCTTTAAATTTTTATAAAAATATAGCTCATCATCCAGCAAAAAACTATAAAAATCTAAACGCAAACTTTTAGCAAACATTTTGAAAATTAACAAAGTTTCATCAAAATGCCACAATTTTATATGTAACTACTTCAAGTTTGCACTTTATTGTAATAAAATTCAATCGACTACGAAACTGCATAAAATTTGATTGTTTTTTTAAAAAAAAATTTGAAACTTGCTGTGAATTATTGGAAATTAAATAAAATGGCTTTTTTCCAATTTAAATGCAAGAAAATTTGCTTGTAAAGGCTCAGTTAGCCTAGACTTAATTTACCTAAAGTTAGGAGCCATACACAGCATTCGTAATTAAGTTATTTCACAATATTCAAAATGTTTTCCATCATAAATCTTTTTCGTTAATTTTCATTTAAAATATAGCTCATTCTATAACGAAAACCATATAAATCATTCTTGTAAATTCTGTACAAAATTCATAAAAATCAATCAAACTTAAAAAAATTTTCATAAAAATTTCAACCTTTTTATTCAGAATTTCAATAAAAAATTTCGGTACGTTGTTTTTTAGCCCGCTCAATTTTGGTATAGTACAGTGCAAGTTTGAAGTAGCTAAAAATTACTGCTGATTTTTTAGATTTTTTTGTCGAGGGTGTTGCGCATTTTCTTCCATATAAAAGTAGATTTTGTGCATGCCTTATATGGAAACATCTATCCGGTCCGAATAGATACGGGTCTGAATAAGCGACTGGAACACGGCTGTTTGTCAAAAGCATAAGATTTCGAACTCGCTAAATGCGATGGCATGAACGCTCTTCGAAAGCTTATGTTCAAAAGTGCTAAATGTTGCGTTTTAAAAGCCGGTTGTTCAATATCTAATTAGCACAAATCGGAGGTAGAAGCTCCGGTTAAGTACAACGACAGCTTTATCGATCACATGTTACATGCATGATGTCGAAATCGTCGATAGTGTAGTGGTAGTGATAACCAGACATTGAACAACCGGCCCTTAATGTTCTTTACCGATATGAGGAACTTTTGCAAAACTTGAACTTGTCTCTACAAGGAGATAATAAAAATGTTTGTCGTGTGTTGTGATTTTTTATAATTTTTTTGAGTATGCAGTTTTGCAGCCCATTAAATTCTAGTAAAAAAAAAATCCAAGTTTGGAGCTAGTCAAAAATCGCGTTGATTTTTGAGCATTTTTTTTTTGTTGAAGGGGTTTTGCATTTTTCCCATATAAAGTATTGTCGAAAAAAATTTTTGTATGGAGACCGCGTGCAAAAAAATTGTCAAAAATCAACGGTAATTCCTAGCTACTTAAAACTTGCAGTTTGTTATAAAAAAATGATTGGGCTACAAATCTGCATACTCAAAAAAAAATTCTAAAAGGTCTGATTAAAAAGTTGAATATTTTTATGAAAATTTGCTGAATTTTCGCGAGCTTTGCACAATGTTTAGGAATTATATTTTTATGTTTCTTGTTGTAGAATGAACCATATTTTTATACGAAATTAGTGGAAAAATATGAGAATGAAAATTGTTGCATATATTGTGAGAAATTCGCTATGCCAATAATTCTTTCCGGTAGTGTATATATTCCGATGAATTGATAACCCTCTCCTTTTTGTGAAGTCGGTAAAAAAGGAAAAATTTGTTAAAATGTCGTATTTTTCCACAACTTTATGTATTTATTTGCCAAAGCTTCTCCCCTCTTGGTGATGTGAGTATTGATGCTGTCTCACAAATCGAGCGATCTACAGAAACAAGCAAAAAAGAAAGGGCCTAAAAGTATACATATGTTGCGAATTCATTATCGAATTTCGTACTACCGGTTTCATAATGAAAATGCTCTTTGGAGCTTGAATTGTAGAATTGTTTTCTTGAGAAAAAATAAATACGGGAGAAACAATTTCCTCGGGAATATTTATGATTCGGATAACAGAATACATTCTAAATAGCTAACCATTTAAAATTAAGGCTGATATTAAAATTTGCATTTGAAATAAAAATTTTGTTCAAATGTCTGCATTAAAAGGCTTTTAATATCGAGCTGCGCTTGCGCTTCTTTCACGACCTTGACATTGAAATCAGCTTGCAGAGTGCCAGCAATATGATAGTAACAACTCTGTGTCGGCAGTGAAAGCAGCAGCTGCTGCAATGCATGGGCACGAGCACGCCGATGCATTTCCAGTATGTTAAAATGCATATGTACATACGTATGTACACACATACAAAAACTATGTATGTTGCCCATATAAATGTAGTAAGGTATACACATTCATACAGACGTAGATACACATCTATACATAGTAAGTATATACTCATACACATATGTTACGCATTAAGGCGAAAATAATTTGCAATGCACAGCACTGCATTGGTAGGTAAATAGGCATCTGGCCCATGATCTACGTTTGCCGCAATTCCACCATGGTAGCGACTGTACTTTCCAACACATCATTTACGATTTGTGGTGAAAGATAACAATGTAACATAAAACAATAGTGAGAGGCTTGGCAGAAAAATCGCATAACACAAACGGCTGTTGTCCCAAAATTGCCGGTATAGCAATAGAAAATCAACAATCCCAATCAACTACTATACCTACATACATATGTACATATATGTAGGTATGTAGATATGTATGGCTATTTGCCTACAAATTTGTATCCAAGCGGCCGCGACTGCCATCATCACCACCACTACCACAAAAAATTCCAGACAGGAAGGGAAATCAAGAAAACTGCTTCTATCATGTGTTCCTTACAGCATCGACAGTGCGGACACTGTCGGTCACGGCCGTACTTGGAAACACAAGAGGCAAAGGCAAAGCAAATGTAGCACAAAACCTGAAATGGTATGTGCTCACTAAGCCATACGAATCGCCACCACAAAAGATTCGGTATAACTTTGGCAAGTAGATATGCGCACATGTGCGAATGTTTGAATACGCCATATGTAGTAGACAAGTAGGTATGTACATAAGTATATGTATATATACAGCCATATAAACATATGAATGTATATGTATCTAGGTATCCAAAATCGACCAAGCAACATTAGTGAAACAACTTATAAAGTGCATATAGCTATTTATGCATGTACTAAAAAGTAATGGATAATGAAACAAAATTTCTTGTTCTCAAATCAGCAGCTCCAGTATTTTAATTTACAATTAAAAAACAATCACAGTGATATTTGAAATTTTATATTGAAGGTTGGTGCTTCTGAGTTGGGTTTCTTTGCTCTTCTCTGTACTATTCTTTCGTAGGTATTCTCCGAACTGCTCTATACTCCGCTCCTTCAACAGGGCCTGATACCCGGCTTCGTTCAGCATTAAAAAACAAAAGTGCATCGAGTCAACATTATCGTATCAGCCCAGTTTAATCGTTCGCCAGATCACTTTAAATGTTCATGATGTGTATGTGGTTGGACTGTGTGTGTATGCATGTATATGAAGCAGCAGTAAATCTCAATTTCGGTCGACAACAAACAATTTATACTTCCCAGGATCGCAGACGCAGTGCAGCTCCAAAATTTGTCTGCGTCCCTTATTAGAGTGGGCCGCAACTGTGCCGAATTGGAATTAGAAAATTTTTTATTGAAAAAATTAGGGTTCATAAGGAGAGTGTGAGTTAAGCTTTGTTTTTATAATTTTTTTCTTTTATTTTTTTATAAGTTGGTTGCAATTGTAGTGTATGTGTAGTATACGAAGTCGTGCCGCTTCTCTTAATTACGGCCTCCTTTCTCGTCACATTCGCGTCTCAGATGACCACTCTTGCCGCAGCCATAGCATGTCTTCGCCGTATCCGGGCAATTCTTGGAAATGTGACCTGTGCGGTTGCACTTGTAACACGAAATGTTGCTTACATTTCTATCATTAAGAGCCTCCGGGCAATTACGCGCCCAGTGACCGAGCTTGTTGCACTTGTAACAAGTGGGATTATCAGCCTGTGTGCATTCCTTCGAGATGTGACCAATTCCGTTGCAACGATAACAGCGTTCTGCTTCCTCAGGACAGGTACGCGCAAAGTGCCCAACTTGATTGCACTTGTAGCACTTTTCCCGAGCACCACCGCGTCTCATATCGCGCCCTCCTCCGCCAACCATGCCGCCACCGGCATTGCAGTCGCGGGCAAAGTGGCCTGGACGGTTGCACTTGTAACACGTGGGAGCTGACATATTTCTTCGGTACTAATCTGCTATCGCGGGTTCCTTACCAACTAAAAGTCTTTGCCACAGTCCAAACGTTAAAACAACTAAATGCAGCGCGCTCCTCTCGGTGAAAATTGCTTTCACCACTCCACGCACTGAACACAAATCGAAATGGCTGCCGACGTCGACGTTCGTCCAACAGCGCCTCCGACTAACGTTTGCAAAAACGCCCCAAACTCGAAAACCAGGGTTGCCTGTGGCTTTAATTTTATATAAGTGCTGCCAATCCTTCGAATAACATTTTCGCTAGTGAATGAGAAATAGAAATTCCATTCCATTGTTGCATAAATCAATTTCCCTTTAATGGGATAATTATTGTCAAGCTATATTAGGCCGGACATGAGTACACTGATCTTCCGTTTAGTACACATTAGGCAGCGTGGCAGATACTTCATTTTATCCTCGCAAGATGGCGCTGAGGAGTCCAGCCATAGCCCTCTGCGAAAGGGGTTACTTTAATGCAAGGGATACACATCGAAAATGCACCGGACAGTACCCACCACCTGAGGCCAGTGCTGCCAAATCATGAACTTTAACTTATACAACAATGCCCAATAGTGTTGCCACCACAATTGAACTTAATTTCGTGGCACTATGTACCCAACCGACGTTAGCACCTCATTAGTATAAATATTGTTACGATTATCCTTGAATACTTGACGGATTTACCAAAAAGCCCTACGTTCATATCGCCCTATCATATTGAGTTGTCGCAGTATTCGCAATACTGTCCTCCACCTAAGTCTGCTGTTCCGAATGCTGCAAGTCTTTCCAAGTGTACCACTATGTACCCAACCGACGTTAGCACCTCATTAGTATAGATATTGTTACGATTATCCTTGAATACTTGACGGATTACCAAAAAGCCCTACGTTCATATCGCCCTATCATATTGAGTTGCCGCAGTATTCGCCATACTGTCCTCCACCTAAGTCTGCTGTTCCGAATGCTGCAAGCCTTTCCAAGTGGACCACCTTCGTCTTGGTTCTCGGTCTCCCAACGGTCTGGGCTCGATAGACTGCGACATTCAGAAGTTTAACAATCTTACGTCGTTGTTTGGAGGTGAAGCCTTTCTTTCGCTCCGGCTTGTACATCAACACAAAATGCCCTTCCTGTAAATCCTCTCGGCTCAATGCGTTACTGAACATTACTTCCGGCTTATGTCCGGGAGGGCACCATCTCACATGGCCGTGCTTCTGCCGGCCACTGGTGGTGACCAGACCATGTCTCTTCTCATGGGCACCATTTTCGCCGGATTTACGCCGCATCATCTGGCCATGACTACGAGGCTTCGATCCTCGAGCTGCAGTGCCTTTTTTTTTTTTTAGATTGGCGCTTACACATATGCTAGTGTTTGGCCGAGCTTCTCCTCCGACTTGTGGCGTGCGCCTTGGTGTTGTCACACAAAGCGGAGGGACCTACAGTTTTACGCCGACTCCGAACGGCGATTGTATATTTATGAGAAGCTGTTTTTCATGGCAGAAATACACTCGGAGGTTTGCCATTGCCTGCTGAGGGACGACCGCTGCTAAGAAAAAACCTTTTCTATATTTTTTGCGATGTTGCTTTGACCAGGGCTTGAACCCGGGTGCTGATGAGTGAAAGCGCGCACTGCTTACCACTACACCACAGCGGCCGACATCCTCGCTTCCTATACTCTACTCGTAAACTCTTGAGTTAACTATACAAAAAATTTCATTGAACTCTCCTTAAACACCACTCTTAGGCACATTACGCGCCTAATCAAAGTAGAGTAATCGTTTCATCATACCGAAACGAATGCATGACGGCTCGACTTCTGCACTCTTGCACGCCCTGCATAAGTCACCAACTAATAAACACTTTCTACACATAACAAATTTTTTTGCCGTTCTTTCGCAACACGCACTTCCGCAAATTATTCCGCTCCGAAATATTGCATAAACGCTTGTGGTTTAATGCAATTTGCACGAATTTTAGCACGAAATCGTTCATTTCCAATTATTTTCTATTGAATTGACAAATAAAATTTATTTCCAACACAAAAAAGTAAACAAATGACGATTTCAAAACTGCAAGCGCCTTACAATGTTGGGCGCTTCGATTCATAAAGCTTTTATGATTAGGCGAAAACATGATTTTGAATCGTAATCTACAGAGCTTCATTGAAATACATGGGTACGGCATAAAAGCTTTATACTTTAGTATGCCGAAACGATTACACTACTGTGATTAGGAGCTTAATGTGCGGAGTGCCTTATTTAGACAATAGTTGCGTTTTTTACTCATTTCCAGTAAAATCCAGTAAAAGTTTTTACGAATTTTCATGTTTTGGCGTTTTCGTACGCAAAAACTTGCAAAGTAGGGGAAATTGAGAGAGCGAAAAATGACAGTTGAAGTTGCAAGTTTTTACTGGATTTTACTGGATAAATTTTTACTTGTAAGAATTTGCCAGTACGTAAAACAGCTGATCGTATGTTTCTGGATGAAATTTAAACTAATAAGGAAACTGTTTGTGGGTTTTTATTCTTGAAATTCACAAAATAAACCTATTTAAATACAAAATATATTGTTTTATTAGGAATTTGCTGCGAATAAACAACCAATTTATCAGCTGTTCATGAAATTTGCAAATTATTACTGGAAAAGCGTTCACGTACTTTATTGCAAATTTTTTCTGAGAGCGAATTCTTAGAAATAAAGTTACCGGAGAGTTGCTGGCAAGTTACTGGATAATTTGTAAAAAAACACAACTAATGCAAACCTTTTTTTACCGAATTTGGTTTGTGTCTTTGATAATCGAAACCTGCAACCAACTTGCCGACAGTGTTCCCGCACTGCAGGATTTAAGGCCCGTCCACATAGAACTTTGGCGTTGCGTTGGCGTTGGCGTCGCTTCAACGGCTGACTATGAATACATGAATTCAAATGCAGCCGTCCATAGCCAAATTTCGACAACGCTCACGCCAACACAAAGCAAAAAGATGGCCAACTCTCAACTTTTCGAGTGCGTCGCTCGTCAGCTGTTGCAAATAAATAAAATTATGTGAAATATTTTCCTTTGGGCAAGAAATATCGCTTTTAATGCAATTATTGATATGAAATATTAATTTATCTGTCGTTGGTATGCTAATTTAGTAGCCCAGCCATTCGCTGCCAAGCGTTCATTGTAGCAAGCATACTTTTAACGTGTGTTCTGTCAAACCAACGCCAACGCCAAAGTCAACGCGAAAGTTCTATGTGGACCGGCCTTTAATCAGAAATAGTCCGAGGTCGTTCCGGTCACATAAGTCTATAATATCAACAATCTTGCCATGCAAAAACCCACTTAACTTCTTTTATCGGCTTTGGTTTTTATTTGCACCAAACTCAGTTTAAACGTCCGATCGGGCTGGTTTGAACTAAGATTAGCCAATCAGATGTCAGCCAGCTGTTCAATTTAAACTCAGTTTACTTAATTTAAGTTGAAACTGACCCTGAAAAACTGGCCCTTAGTTTCTTAAACATTCCAATGTGAACACTTGACAGTTCATAAACTCAAAACGTTAAACTCGAGCTTATGTGTTTTTTTACAAATTATCCAGTAACTTGCCAGCAACTCTCCAGTAACTTAATTTCCAAGAATTCGCTCTCATAGAAAAAATTTACAAAAAAGTACGTGAACGCTTTTCCAGTAATAATTTGCAAGTTTCATGAACAGCTGATTAATTGGTTGTTTATTCGCAGCATATTCCTAATAAAACAATATATTTTATATTTAAATACGTTTATTTTGTGAATTTCCGCAATAAAAAGCCGCAAACAGTTTCCTTATTAATTTAAATTTCATCCAGCAACATGCAATCAGCTGTTTTTCGTACTGGCAAATTCTTACAAGTAAAAATTTATCCAGTAAAAACTTGCAACTTCAGTTGTCATTTTTCGCTCTCTCAATTTCCCCTACTTTGCGTACGAAAACGCCAAAACATGAAAATTCGTTAAAACTTTTACTGGATTTTACTGGAAATGAGTAAAAAAAACGCAACTAATGAGAACATAATTTTACGCTTTAATTTTTTTTGTTGGCCTTAACACCCTCTGGTGTTTCGTTTTCTCCTATACTTAGCAATCATCTGATATCGAATTGGCAATTTCAGGAAATCAAGGAATTAGTTGACAATAAACACGTTCATGTAAATAATAAAAATGCTGCACCGCTACCGGTGTTAACAAGTGATTGACCACAAATAGTAGATAAGAAATGAGCTCGTTGACATGCCTAAATCCCATCGCGATTGCATTCAATTTGCTATTGCTTGTGATAGTGCCCTTATCAGGTAGGTTTCTATTCAGTTGTCAGGCTTCGATCGAAATGCCATAAAAGACACTCATTTGATTACTATTCCTTTAGGAGTACATCATCCACCTATTCACGACATAATTACAACGCAAGATATAATAGCTGGAGATGTTTTCTTCGAGATAACAGATCCTGCCGTACTGGAGTATACGTATCGCCTGCGACCGGCAAAAGATTTCGGCGTATCATTTGTGTCACGACGATTCGTGGGAATTGGACTAGTGCTAACAGTTCCTTCGGATGCATGCTCAAAAATACTAAATCAACGCGAACTTCGCGGGAACGTAGCGTTAATTGAGCGAGGGTGCGTATGTTAGCTATAGTATAGGTTCAGCTTTCATTAAAAATTTATGAGTGTTACGTGGCCTAATGGCTTATGCGCTTGTCACACAAACGAGTGAATGAATCGTGTTTATAGTTGACCACATATGTGTTTAATGTATCAATTAAACTTGCAACCTCTAAAATAAATTTTTGTGTGTTTTATCAAAACCATTTTTACTAATATCTAAAAATTTTAATTTTTTCGCTTTCGTTCGGATATACATTTAATTAGTTCTTTTTGTTGCAGCGAATGCTCATTTCTCACCAAGACGATTAATGCTGAGCTTGCTGGCGCTAAAGCTGTTATTATCACTGAATTCAACAATGAATCAGCTGAGTTTGATTATTATATCGAAATGATACATGACAATACCAGCAGAGATGCTCACATACCAGCTGGATTTTTGCTGGGCAAAAATGGTATTGTGATACGGTCGACGCTGCTGCGGTTACGTCGGCCACAAGCTACCATAAATTTGCCAGTCAATTTAACATTTGTGCCACCCGCTCAAATCAATCATCCACCATGG